TTGAATGATATGGAAAGACGTTGATACGTTAAAGTAACATAATTATATTAAAACGCAGGAGTCTTCCCTGCTTTTTTGGTGTTTAAGAAGTAGATGGCCTATGTACATTCATATGCAAATTTAATTTTTGCCGGGAATGCGATACAACTCCACGCAAATTCGCTAAATCGAAAAGATATTATTATCTTAAATTTTAATAAGGAGCTCATAAGGGGAATTGAAACCTGTTATCCACAGAAAATTATATACATAAATTTTTTTAAATACTCGTCAAATTTTTTAAATAGTCTTACTCGTGAAAATGAACTAGCAGTGCATAGCTCCGTTAAATTTTAATAAGAAGCTCATAAATAAATCTGTTATCCACAGAAAATTATATTGATAAATTGATTTTTTAAATACTCGTCAAATTTTTTAAGTAGTCTTACGCGTAAAAATGAACTATCAGTGCATAGCTCCGTTAAATTTTAATAAGAAGCTCATAAGGAAACCTGTTATCCACAGAAAATTATATCCATAAATTTATTTTAAATACTCGTCAAATTTTTTAAATAGTCGTACGCGTGAAAATGAAATAGCAGTGCGTGGCTCCGAGCTATTCTAGTGATCGAGACCTATACCTTCAAAAAAAGTTAAGAGATCGTAAGTTCATCAGCCAATCATTGACGGCCTTTCAAGCAAAATCCACCAATCACAGACATGAAAATAGTGCGTAAGTACTTACGTTCACTTAGCGAGTTTTGAAAGTATGGCCCCAGGACTGTAAATTACAGCAGCAGCCTGACGCCTCGCAACAGGTGCTGGCCACATGTAATTCTAGTCGCTATCAGAAGAATTGTAAAGCAACGAAGTGAAATATACATGCTACTACGTAGACATCGATATCGATCACTTTATTACAGTATGAGTATATAATGAGCTATGATACATCTACACAAACAATATGGATATGTTAGCAACTTTATTCACTAAAAATACTCACTGTACGCNCTACGTAGACATCGATATCGATCACTTTATTACAGTATGAGTATATAATGAGCTATGATACATCTACACAAACAATATGGATATGTTAGCAACTTTATTCACTAAAAATACTCACTGTACGCTGCTAGATCACTGCACTGAAAAACTTCACACAGATCATGCCGTACGCCCCAACTTGTGATCAATAAGTTGGATGTTGCTGAATTTCAGCCGATGCTTAATTCACATTTAACTTCGGATCTCATGTATGCTTCATCCTAATTTTTTAAAATTTTCTCTAATTTTGGAAATAAAAACTTTAGAATTATGCTAGTGCTAGTAAATTCTCGAATATTTATTAAACTTAATATATTAACATCGGGACATCGGATAATAATCCAATGGAAAAATATTATAAAGGTTACTCATTACAGTATTTGACCAACGCCGTCATCTCACTGTCAAATGTTGTCTATCACAAAGAAATTCAAATGTTTGCCATTCATGTCCATAATTGCTACTCAACAGACGCGCGATTACGTCATACCCAGAAAGTTCTGATTCAATCATCGCTGATCCAACTGAAATTTATTTAGGTTACGTTTTTGAATTCTTTCTGTTATCCCTAAACTACCGGATCCTTGTCCCTAAACTGCTCCTTAAACTTTGCAAGTTTTTGCTGTGTTGATAAACTTTATGAAGCGGTCTACAATTTTATTAACTTAAATTCTTCAATTATCTGCTGCTTCCATACTGAGGCTGGTATTCAAGATAAAGTGAAGAGCCTCCCACGGCTGATGGTATTTATTTACTGATAAACAAACCGGTGTCGGACAGCGGCGATCATCTACTGAACAGGAAATGGTATTCTCGGTATATACAACTAATGAATTTTTTCGATTGGGGTGGAGAATTTGTACTTGAATACTTACTTTTGAGTTCAAATATCAATTGAGAATTTTAGGATCAACCAGTAGCCGTAGCTGAGGTCTCGCAAATCGTCTTTAACTTTTGCATAATTTCCTGTTACTCGTCATATGTTCAGACAATCATGCAGCGACCACTAAAAGACTGTTATCAAAACTACCAAGAGTTGTGCTTTTAATAAGCGAAAATACGAACGCGGTCGTTTTTATAACTAACGCTAGACAAAATCTTTAATTGAAAGAACAATACGGGTGCTAAGTAGAAAACTCGCTGCAAGTATAAAATTATTGACTTTTGAGAGTGAAAATATGGTGAGTAGAAATATATGCATGCCTTAAATTAGAAAATGGTACAGAAATAGAGATATTTAGGTTATCAAAATAAATTTCGTCGATACCAAAGCTACAAACGAATAGAGAGAAGCGTTGTTAAGGTAATATGAACATTAAATTCCTGCCAACGCAGAGGGACTCCCTGAAAACACCTCTGCTCTACTCCTTGCTATTCACATATCGATAATATCCATAAATCATCCCAACATCATTCGGAACCGAGATAGAGAGCTACATTATTGTTTCTTCTATTCCTACATTTCGTACGCTTATTGAATTATGTCACTATAGTCATAATTATCTGCGAAAATTTGATAAGTTGTATTATGAAGATTGAACTGCGCATCTTTATTGAAATAAAATTTGCTTCAAGTTTCTAAATTTAATTTGACATTATTACTAATTATCTGTCGAATTATCTTCAAGTCTATGCTGGTAGGTGCAATAGAAAATGTTTAATAACAAAAAAGAAATATTTCCAGTTTTAAATTAATTTTTAACAATTTTGCTTCGTCAGTGCAATAACATTAAAACTGTCAGCTTTCCGGCAGTACCCTAAAATGCCCTACTCCTGCTTTAATTTTCTTTTACTACATTCTGTTTCTGTGCTTTTTACTCATATTTACGTAAAAAATAAGATTATGGGACGAGTTTTGTGTAAAACATTGCCCGATGTGTTTTAAAATCTCCCAAAAAGTTTACTGTATCTAATTTAACAACAACGAGCCCAGCATTCAAAAAGGTGTCTCCGATATATGCTCAAGTTGCGTAAAGTAACTGCTCAATTATCACCTATCAGGCGCATAGCTAATTGCATAGTCTACAATCTGACCTCGCTCAGACTTGCAATATCAACTCAAATCTGTTAAAAACATCTACGCCTCATTACGTCGATCTTACGTTATCAACTGAAACGTGCTTAGAACACATGAGCCTCAATACGGCTTACGATGTCAACTGGAACGTGCTTAGAACTGAGCCTTAATGCGGCTTACGATATCAACTGAAACTTACGTAGAACATCTGAGCCTCAATACGACCTATGATATCAACTGAAACGTGCTTAGTACATCTGAGCCTCAATGCGGCTTACGATATAAACTGAAACGTGCTTATAATGTCGCAGTAAAAACGCGGCTTAAGATGACAATTCGAACCGGCCACAACTTCATCCGAGCCTCAACGCACGCAGAGTATAGATCCATTGAACCCAATGCATGAAACTTCGTATTCATCTGCCCTGTAACTTAATATACACGTCATGACTTTTAAGTTACTTCAGCCATATTAGGGACATGCTGACAGCGTCTAATATGGAATACTGTGGTTGAATATTCTTGTCACGAGACATGGTATTAATGGGCAGGAGGATGTTGTTTTAAGAACATATCTTTCAATGGAATGAAGCAATGAAATCTGAAGATAATTATTTATGTTTGATAACAAAAGCAAGAGACAGTTCCACCATAACCATCGGCCGCAAATGTTTTAATACTTGGTACGCATTCATTTCAAATGATGTTTCGACAGCTGATGCTTGAATAAGTGGACATTCGGGGCTAAAAGTTTCTGGTCAATAGCTTAACATATGCCTGGGCTTACTGTACTTTTACGGGGTACAGTTCAAGAGGTTACAGTGGAGTTGCAAGTTCGAAAATAGAGTTCCTGGTGAAATTCTTAACATGCTATGGGAATGTATAATATTTCAATATGTTCTAGAGCTTAAAAAATTACGCTCAAGAATTCGAAAAGGATTTTGCTATAATATAATAATTGAATATGCATACTAATTTTAAAATATGCAAGCACTGATTAGTTACAATGATCTTAACGAGAAACGAACAGCACTCAAATCAGGAACACGATATCGGAAAGTTTAGATGCACTCTCGAGAAGGGAACGTTCAATGGAGTTTGGTCAACCTCTTAACAGCTATGGAGCTAACACTTAAGAAATACTTTGAAACATCATTACAAACGCTCCGTATATAACAGCTTTAACAAACATTCAACGTCTCGGGCGTTTTTGGGAATGGGTGATGGAAGATTCCGAATATACCATGGAAAAGACTTGTGTGCCCAGCACGTACGTCTGGCACTTCCACTAACAGTCATAAGGTTTCTCCGATACGCTAGATTATTTATGATATTTTCTTAGTATTTTTGATAAATAATTTAAAAACATTAAAAATAACTTACCGTGCACATAAAAATCAACAATTTAAACAATTTCTTTCAATTCGGATTTCGATAACAACTTTACTTTCATCTGCATATTTGTTTTCGTGTTTTAGATTGTGTCTGGAAAGTGTAAAAAGTAAGAGCAAACGTGCGCCTCCACTTTTCATCGCCGGCACATTTTTAATCGCACATAGCTCACGAAACACATACGTTTACGTAACGAATTTTTATAGACATATTAAGTGTCTTAGTTGGCTAAGCAACTTAATGCTAAATCAATATGCGGGAGCTAATTTTTTGTATTATGATTAATTAGGATCAATGTAAGGGAACATATCGGTATCACAAAGATGAGTTTTAGGAATGGACCTTCAATAGCGAAATCAGAAATGTTATAGTGCACGATTACAAGCAATTCTGATTAATGAATTTCTGTTGTCTGTTTGGTAGATTTTACATCCGTTTCAAGCGATGTATGTTTCTGTTAAGTAAGTTGTTTAAAGCTGATTTCTGAACAATACAGTTTTTATTTTTTCGTGCATCAACTCCTTGCAGCATCACGCTTCACTGGTTTTAATTCCGTCAAAATACAATCGGCGTCACGAGAGAGAGTAAACCCCGGAAAAGCACGGATGTCTACAATTTGAGTTTGCGCACAACATATTCTAACTTGCATTGAAGTAATTTGCGCAATGAAAACAAAATTTTTAGCGGATTTTTTTTTTGCTATGCTGATTGCCAGTTCCAAGTAAAGAAACTTTGTATAATTGAAATTATATGCGCTATTGATTTCGTAAATACAATTTGAGAGGAAAATATATGGTTTTCAATGTCACAAGCGCATAGTAATGAGTAATCAAATTAACACTAACTAATTTATGTCAACTTGAGCACATATTTATGATACATACTCCGGCCAATGCAATGAACTAGACGTCCATCAATTATCCTTTCGAGATTCTGCATTTGTTACTGGCAAGATAACTAAACTATTCCTTTAGTTGCTGCACCATAGCCTGCAAAGCAACTCAATGTGCCTCACCGTGAAAAATTCGTGTCTGTTGTCTATTATATGTAGAGTTACAATAATATATTTCTTTCTATGTTCAGAGCACTCTTTATTATATTGAAGCAGTTACTGTGTAATAATTTTCGTAGCCACAACGCATTCATCACAAAGCCTAGTGTACATAACACTGACGAGACTGGCAAGAACGCAACAAGGATGCAGCTAATAAAACGTTATATAGTAATTTACGTAAGGCTGCGTCATCGCAAACAGTGATCCATGATGCTGCTTCTCTGCTCCAGACTTCGCTCTTGAAAGCACAAGTAATCTACGGTAAAGGTAAGTCCTCACGCAATTCTCAGGAACCCCAGAAAGAATTTTTAATTCCGCAAGAGAAACTTAAGCTTTCTTCAGCAGCGATCCTGTCCTCTCGTTGGCCAGCTTGATCCTTGTTTCGTTCGATGTCGCCTGTAGGGAAATAATTTAGATGTACATTTAAATAACATTCATTCAGGATTTCTTCCCTGAAAATGTTAATAACAAGCTTGAAACGGATTTTTTTTATGAAAGTTAGTGGACATCTGTTTAAAAATTTACCTTGAACGGCCCAATATTGTCTGATTTACAGAAAATTCTGTCGCTCTAAACTTCTAAAGTGTTATAAAAATAGAACGGCTTTTAATGAGCTCTTCTTTCGTAACAGAAAGCAGCGATAATCACCTTAGAATAAACCTCAGAGGTAACTGATTTATGATAATCTTATAGCTTACGAATTCAGAATGATAAATGTGAATTCTCATTTTTCTATTCCAAAGGAAATTGAGACAATATGCAGTCATTATGATGTGACACGAATCAACATTACGATTGCTTTGCTAAGTGAAAAAATGCAAAACAGTATAATTTAACATAAGGCAAGGTAATATCAAAATATTCAACTTAAAGTACACAATTCTAAATTGGAATACTCCGATTACAGATCATATACTTTTGCTCAACAAATGCTACTTAGCATACTGTTGGAAAGAAATTTATCGCACTTTAATTCACTGCTAATTTAGAACAGTACGATTTTGTATACCAAATGGAACAACTAGGCAGTTTCTACCATTTACTGGTAACCAACAACAGTACACTTTTGCATTCCAGGAACAGCGAGGCAATTTCCATAAGGGTAATCCACTGGTAATTTACAACAGTAAGATTTTATACTATACCAGATGGAACAGCATTTTCTACCCGGGTGATCTCTGTTTAATTCACAACAGTACAATTTGCATGCTCGTACCAATGGATGTTACTTGCAACCACAGTAATCTACGGCTATTTCCCAGCAAAAATAAGAGTATTATTCATCCAAGGTTCAGTGTTAGGAAGCTATAGGGATTTGCTTCAAGAGAACATATTTACTACACGAGGCATATATACGAGCATTTATGCTGTCTAATATGTGATAGTAAAGTACTTTATTTGAGGAGCTTCCCAGTCCGGTCATTGGCTTTCTTGATCTTGCCCGTGTTTATTGTCGACTTAGATTTAAAAGAAAATTAATAACAGAGCAAAATAAATCAACAAGATTGTGCAGAGTCGTACACATGCAAAAAAAAGCTTTCATAATTTCATGCGTTTCTGAAAATCATAGAACTTTTGTGTAAAGATACTTCAAATAATTTAAATAACAAAATATAAGGAATACACAATACGATCAATAAATATCGCTGCATTACATTACAAAAAAATACAATTTTTGAGAAAGACTTCAATGAGATCTTATTATATTATCATGTTTGCTCCGACATCAGCTTTGGTATGTAGCTGCATATGCTACAGCATTTGTGCATATATCATTTTTAACTCTTTTGAGTCGAAGAAGTTATTACTTTAGTTAGCTGAAGTGATAGTTTTGAAATTAATTGGCTAGTTTATTAATAAATATACTCCATGGTATTAACTCAACACACATTTGATGTTTAAATGATAATGCTTTGTCAACGTAGTGTAACCGCTGGCCCCTCTTGAATTGGTATGGATATTCCGTGTAATTATCCGAACATCTGTAGTTAACTTGACATTGTATCAAACTAAAGGTGACGCAATCTTCACGGTATTATAATATTTACCTTGGCAACGGCTCTGTCAAGTTGTCTGTTCTGGTTGTCGATCTCCGAGCTCATGTCGGTAGCCATGTTGCGCAGGTTGTCAATCATCGTGTTCACGTGTCCCAGGTTCTCCTCCATCTCATCCTCACGCGCGTCCTTCGTGATCCTGTTTTAAAAATTCATTCAATCAGTGTTCTTTCACACCAACCGGTAATAATACATAGGACTCATGGTCCAGCATTAATTACAACTGAGTCTCCACTTCTCAAAAATTATTTATTGCATTAGTTTTTAGTAAAAGGGAAGTTACGCACTGCACAAAATCAATCACATTACTGACCTGCCGACCTGCAGTCCGGGAACCATGCTACCGTTGCCAGCGTTGACGCGTTGAGGCTGACTGTTGACTACACCATCGCCTTTGTCTTTCCAGGGGTCGTTCTCTTCCTTGAACTGCGACGATCTGCGACGAATAATTTTATCAGTATCCAGGTGCCCGATCAGCTTAACGTTTTTTCAGTTCTTTAATGCTTTAGTTCACTTTACTGCAATTTAAATGCTAGTTAAATTGTTTAAAAGAGCAAAAACGTTTTTTGTCCTAAACAGGAACGAAATGGGCCCAACTTTATTTTCTCCTTCAACGCTTTTTTAGAGCCCATGCACAAATGGTTATTTTAATTATTATTTCACATGCTCTTATTGACAAACTCAATATGAGGATAATTTCAAGCTATCCACCAAAGACTCATAGAAGGCTCTCCAAACTGAATTGATCAAAGATCCTTAAAAAACCATCCTTAAAGAAAATAACGGCACTCACTTTTGACACGGCAGGACGCAGAGGCCGCAGCACTTCTCCATGCCCGACAGGTTCTTCTCTGCTTCCTTCATGTCCGCATTGATTTGGTCCATACCTTCCTCGATGCGCTCGATTTGTTCTGCAACAAAAACATGCGTTGCATTATCAAAGGAGGCTTCAGTTATAATGTGTTATATGGGGCTGATAGTTGACAACTTATATTCAAAGGAAGTTCGTGTGTATTTTATTGTGCGACTGTAATGTAAACTGGACGATGGGTGATAACCATTGTTGGGTGTCGTATTGATTTTCCTCTTTTTCAAACCTTATATAAATTAGAGCAAAAATTTTTGAATTTTTTATTGAATTTACGTTGACAGCTGAGGGCATAAATTATCAATTCTCTAAGGGGAATAAATCAAAGGTCATGAAGAGTTCATTGAAATGATCCAATTTATAGTAAAAGATTTTGTAATTTTTATTAAAACTACGTTGACAGCTTAGGGCATAAATTATCAATTCTCTAAGGGGAATAAATCAAGGATCATGAAAAGATCATTGAAATACTCATATTTACCTCCTTGATCGTCCAGTGCCACTAGTGTTCGGATGCCGGCTTCTTTCGACTGTTGGAAAACATTAAAAATTATGAGTAAATTTCATTTCACTGGTTCAATAATGTTACTATATTAATTCGTTTCTATTTCACAAAACGTTAGACACTTCCCCAGACAAATGCGAGTTTTAAATTTCACAGCGTTGAACAATAAACTTTTCTTCCTCATAAAAGGACGTACGTGAGTCATACTCCAGACCTGTTAATTCCTATCACTGGAAAAAAAATAATTTCCAGCAAAATCCTTCGAATTGTGAGAGGGACTATGATTTCCATCCGCACAGCATTCACCTATGATTACTCAAGACACAATACCCAGCTTCCCATCCACGATGGTCAGAGACTCAACCTCCTAGTTCTTGTCCACATGACTCAGCGTCTTCGCTCTCAACTCCCAACCGACGGAATTCGTTGACCTATTTGACCAATCTAAGCATTTAACACTTTCATCTTCACCCAATTAGCTCAAACGTGTAACTTTTTTTCAATTATCTCTTCACCCACATAGCATAATACCATCCTCACTAACTCATTCATCTACCCGGGCCATGAGCAGTGATGAAAACAAATGATGAAAACCATAAAAAGCTTAAAACAAGGTCCTCATTCCCCTCCCCACTCAGCTCCTCACTCATCACTCAGCTCGAGACTCACCTCCCCACTCAGCTCCCCACTCATCACTCAGCTCAAGACCCACATCCCCACTCAGCTCACACTCAGCTCACCACTCACCACTCAGCTCCCCACTCATCACTCAGCTCACCACTCACCACTCAGCTCCCCACTCATCACTCAGCTCACCACTCACCACTCAGCTCCCCACTCATCACTCAGCTTACCACTCAGCTCACCACTCATCACTCAGCTCACCACCCACCTCTTCACACAGCGCCATCATGCGTCGCGTAGACTCGAGCGACTCGTCCGTGACTCTGTTGCAGTCATACTGCAGCTGCTCCAGCTCCGAGCGCGGCTCCCCGGCGCCTTCCATATCCTGCTCCATGAACGTGAGTAACAAGTCTTAAATAACACGCGCTTAATGAAGTTTTAAATCAATAATTCAAAATAAAACTACTACATATCTAGGTTTTCTAGGGGTTCTCATAATATGATAGATAGCTTGAACTATATTGCCGGCAAAAGTATGAGTTCCAAAAAGCAGCGCTCTGATGGTGGAAGGCCGGTTTATTCAGAATAGTACGCTGGTCAGCTCAAATTGAACTATAGAAGAAGAAAGAGTTACAAACAACAGCGCTCTGATGGTAGAACACCAAACCTTCCATCCAGCAGCAGGGCCACATGTGAGCGCAAGCCTAGTAGGTGATCCCCACAGCTTCTGACAGGTAACCAAACTGCTTACGTAATTTTCATGTGTAAAATATTAGGACAGAATTTTCATCCTGTATTTGGAGTTGTGGTTTGGTATCACTAGCAGAGTCGCCTTAGAGTTGCATCTGAAGATAACCCTCCACTGGGTGGTCATTGGCAGGCGCTGTGAATGGTTCACTTTAATGCCAAATATTTTGATTATTTTTTTATTACATATTGGTATATATAATTAAGCAGAAGTAGTTACTTCATGCTAGTTTGTTGAAGATAATTGAAAAAAGTAAGAAAATTGTCAATAAAAAACATTCTTTTGTACTCAATCAACTTGCACAACGACAGAGCGCATGCTGTACATGAAATTTCTCGGTAGTGTGGCATGAGAAGAATATTTTTGGCGAGGACTGCAGCGAAATGTGAAGAAGTTCCATTGAAATGTTGCACGTAATATTGAGCTATAACCCTTTCGCGGGCGAGCATAGAAATCTCCAGAAGTTGTAATTTCAGAAACCAGTACAAGGATATAAGAAGTATTATACGAAATATTTATTAGTGTGTATTTCTAAAAATTTTGTAGATTGGAGGTGGAAATCCTACTTGAAGAATTTATTGAATTCGATTACTAAACCAAATGAATTCTTTATAATTAAAATTTAGTTAATGCAAATGAAAATGCTAAGAATTTAAATTCATGTTAATTAATTTCAATAAAGTTACCTTAAATAATTAAATATATATATTGATACTTCCGCCCTTTCCGAAAACGCGGAAAGAACGTCAATTTCATAGTCCGATTGAAAATGTCTATTTAAATGCTCATACTTTATCTTATTTTTGGGTGTGGTAGGTGGTGATGCTAGTATAAAAAGATGGTTAGATAATTGGAGATTGACTGAGGCATGATAAGGAAGCCTCAAACACAAACCAGAAGCAATTACGGTCTTTTGGATGCATTTTTAAGTGACAGAAATGGTTAATAATATGGCATATAACAAAGTCTCGTCTTGCATGCCATTTTAACCAGCGTTTTTGTTTGAGCGTGGGCGAGTGTGTGGCTGACTGGCGGACAGGATCAGATATGAAGTGGCTGGGAAGGCTGTGAGTGGCTGGGAAGGCTGGAGTGGCTGTGAGTGGCTGTGTTAAAGTTGATAGTCCTGCTTTCCTGCCCAGGCTAAGCCTCCTGCAACGCATGCAACTCGAGATGTTCCGGCAAATACCTTCACAACTTTAAAGCTCCACTTTAGTATAGAATAGAGAGTTAAATATAATTGAGTGTTGAATTGGCACTATAAAAATTCTTTTAAAATTATTATTCGTTGATTTTGCAATCTGAATTTATCAAATTTTCAACATTCCTTGGACAAAGAATATGTTAAAGGAACGTTTGCATTTATAGTAATCTTCTGGTGCTGGTAGCGTTCTGTTGGAGTATGTTTCAGTGATGGTGATATGTAGTTGTACATTATTTAAAAGTACTGGAGATAATACGTGTAGGATCTCTCATGCAATCCAATTACATTTTAAAATATTTTCTATTATTTTTAACCTGTAAACAGGTTAATTAAACCACTTCATCTCTCCCGTGTTCGTGCAGTGCACAAAAATTGATCGAGAACTGAGATTGATCATTTTTCCATGAAATTCTACAAACCTTCAGCGGACAAATAACCTTAAAAAGACCATTGATTTTCGTAATAACTAGCCATCGTAAAACTACTGAACAAATGATAATTTTCGTTACAGATAAATGAAGAACGAAAGTTAATCTTTTGAATTGATCGATTCATATTTAAATAAAGGGGGCAAATTCCACACAAAGGGGAGAACAATACCGAAATACACTAGATACCGCGCTGAAATATCCTCTTGCGGATTGGAATTTATGTGAGTTTTTCTTTTGTTACGAGACTTCATGATTTGCAGGGCAGTTTCAGCGAGATATCTTGGTATGTTGAAAGCTCTCACGCCGCCAACTTTCACCTTGCAGGTCCTAACTGTCCATTGATATATTAAGCAACTAGTAAGCACAAGTAAATGCTTACTAGTTTGATAAAACTAGCCTGACGTGGTGCAGACGTGAACGAGCTCTGGATTAGATGTAAATAGAAAGTAGTAAATCCAAAGTAGTAGTAAGTATACTACTACTTACAAAGTATACCACAGTAAGAGAGTAGGTAAGTATACACACGCGGCAAGTTGGCTAGATGCCGTCCTATTGCAGTACCACAAGGCACGGGATGCTATAATAAGTTGAGGTATGCGCTGCTGTGCATTTTTGTATGAAAAATCAACTCTTCACGCTGAACACATCTCAGACAAGAAGAAATATTATAGGTAATAATTTAAAATAAAATGCATGTGGTTATCACATTAATAGGTGTGGCTGTCAGTGGAAGGTTGAATTAAAAAATGGAAGGGCATGAATGGAATTGAAAATTGAAGTTGGAGTTACGGTAAAAAACTAATAATCTCAAGACGTTCTCTAATCAACCCTGTCGTTTTCTGAAACTTAGAATCTTTCCGAAAAATCTTTTAAATAGATATTAATAACGCTCATATTTGAAAAATTACAAGTAGCACAATTTCTCTCGATTAATTAAACCATATTGGCAAATGATTTATTTCAAACTCTAATCATTGGAGAGAAATCATCATCCATCTCTAGAGTTTGTCTTTCATTACGGTCTTTTCGAGTGTAGATGAAATTCTATCGAAAAGTTCGATCTAATTTATTGCATCAGAACTTAGAGTTACGGCTTAGAGTTGTTATAGGGACTCCACAATTGCTGAAAATCAGCGGATGATGTGACCTGAATTAGAATAAAAATGTCTTTTCTATAATGGAAAAGGTATTGAAGAGACTGCATGCGTTGGACATGGAAAGAATTCTAGTACTTTTGCATGATGCACTGTGTTTTCTTGTGAGTGCTAACCCTTAGCATACTTTAATAATAACTTTAGTTAACTGGCCTCTAGATACGAATAGCAATGACGACGGTTAAGCCATCTTCATTAAAAAAGGTTAATACTTGCACTTATTCTTCGTGTGACCTTGCCCATTCAAAGTAAAGTAACCGTGGGCCTAAAATGAATTTACCAAAACAATTTAATTCCCTATTCAACGCTTTTAATAATTTTAAACTTGTATCTCGTTTGTAAGCCAGATATTAGACCACGAATGATGAGGTATAGTTTTTACGGCCAGATGAAGATCAATTAATTTATAAGAGATGCGGCTGGAATTTGCATTGGACTAACTATGCATTAAAGTGAATCTCCATCCGCGCCACAGGACTACAAAAAACAAAACTTTATCCTCGAAAATTTATAGTCCTCCGTATAGAGAGAAAACTCAGTAAGAAATAACTCGTAACAAAATCTTCGCCAAGTTTTTTTCCTATTTATGCATGTGTTATCATATTTATTTCGGTTTTTAGCACTTGCATAATTACTAAACTATGATCTAGAATAGGTTCAAGTATAAATTAAAAATGTCTATCTAAATAAATTAAAGAAATCTTAATTAAATCTCTATTATCAGCTAAAACTACAATACATTTGGAAAGTTAGAGTGGTCGTCTTTTCTTATTGCACTTCTAATATTTTCAGGAGAGGCAGGAACCAATGGGAGCATTTCTCTGATGCACGAAAGACCACATAAAAATCTAGAAAACCCGTCCGAAATTGTTTAATTAGTTCATCGTTTCTAGGTATTTATTATGGGGAATTTATTGTTGATAGTCAATTAAATCATTACCTACATCAAATCTTGGGGTTTCATTGCCAGCAACAGCTTCCACAATCTCATAGATATACAAAAATATCAGATCCAGATAAGGTAAAATGTTACATCTAACTCTAGCTACCATATGAAGTAAAATGCGTAATCAAAATGCGCATTTTATTCTTTTCATTCAAATGCGTATTGACTGAAAAGCAAAGAAAATAAACCAAAAAATTCACCACTTCTCATAAGAGAAAACGTTTCGGATTCCAGCTCCATCGTCAGTTCAAGACCTAGAACACAGGTACAAACAATTAATTAGTAGCCTAAAATTTACATTCAAACAATTCATCTAAACTTGAGGACATTCGAAACTAAATCGAAAAGAGAGAACAAATAAAAATGAAATAAACATGAGCAGAAGGAACTATCTTATTACAATTTGGAGAGATTAGGAACTGAAAGCGGTATTTAAACTGGGTTTTTATTTATAAATATACAATGATTCTAAATTTTGCAGGTCTGAAACACCGGTTGGTGAGGCTAAAATTCTAAAATATTGGATACCGGGACACTGCTCACTGCTTGGTATGAATCCGTACGGCTGAATATAGGGGGAAGAGCAAGTTGGTTCCCTGTTCTAGCTGGACTCCGAAGCGTTTTCTCTTGTGAAAAATGGTGATTTTTTAGCTATTTTCTACGCTTTTAAATTTCGCGAAAATTTGACTTTTGTTTTGAGGTTCTGTATAGCATACTGCATATAACGAATTTACGGCAATAACTGTCCTCTTTCCATATCTATTATAATTATTAAATTGCGGTTTAAGAACCGAGAATATCTTTCGCAGGACATAAAAAAAATCTACCCAAGACAATGTAATGCACCCAAGCGTATTAAGGTAAAATGCATTCTGGGATATAGAGTCATAAATGTTTCCCCGAACGCAGGCCATCGCAGATCACGATCGCGATCAACGCACAAGCGGCATTTGGCAGAAGTAGAATGCATGTACCAAAAACAGCATTCAAACATTCATAATTTAGAGGAAATTTATAGATAAAAAGAGCACAACCCACCTCTGACGAAGTCTATTTCTTCTCAACGATAACTCCTTGCAGGAAGAAAAGCAAACTACATGATAGAAAGAGACAGAGCAGCTGTTATTGTTGAAAACCGCAATAACGATGTTGCAAAAAATACTGCTCTTGTTGTAAAATTTGGCACAAGAAACTGCTGCCTCGTTTAATGTTTTGCAGTTGATTTTTATGTATTCTTTTTAAATCAGAGAGCTTGCTTTGTCCGGAAAGCCCCATTGAATGCAGTTAACTATATATTCTTACCCATTCAAATTATAATGAATGAGGTACAAGGCATAAATTTGATCTGTTACAAAAAAAAATAGTTGCGCAGCCACTAGTTCTTATTGAATTGAAGCAACAATAGAAATTAGCATCTAATGATGCCTAACGACTATGCATGGTGTTGATATTGAACTTAACTCTAACGGATGAAATACGTACAATTATTTGCCGATGTTATTAACTGTACAGACACTCGAGTCACGTTGTTGCGGGAGATCAACATACACTAGCTATCCCGACGGGATAGTGGAATAAATCAAAGTCAAAACTCCTAGTAGAAGGTCAGAAAAATGAAGTTAAAATCTACGTTATAAATCTTTATTGCGGAAACTAAAAGGACACTGATCCACGATCTTTAACAGAAGAATATCCTGCTTTCGTCATGCGAAGATTTGGTTTTTTAATTGATCATTAATCAATTTTATTACTGTAAGGTTATTCAAACATTTTCCGAACATAATTTTGCGTTTAAATTGCGGAGAACATAAAAATTATACTGCATCTTGATACAAAATATTTGGCAAATAATTTTTAAATATTTGGCACTCACCGAACCCTTGCCTCCCTTCTTCTGGATTGCATGTGGGAAAGAATTGGAATCAAACAGCTTCTAAGTCATTAAGAAACATGAGGTTCGGGATAAATGGAATGAAACTTATGTTTAAAATTTGATAGAACATGAAGTCAGAATATTTTAGAAACAATAAGGGGAATATGAATTGAAAACTTTGGTACATCAATATAATTTTTCATGATTAAAACTAAGAAAAAAAATATTTCATAATAAAAATTCATTTCAGGCTATAACAAGATGAAGAAAAATAATTTCAAATACGAGACGTCAGTTCATAGTAAAAATTGTTTACAGTTTAGGCTCAACATTAGTTTAAATGAAAATTAATAAGCAAACAGTTAAATAGTAATAGTTAAATAAGTAAAAAAATTAAAGCTGGAACTTCCTGGTGTCAAACCAGAATGAAGTTGTGAAAATGGGCAAAAGAAAGAAAGCGTAGTATTATGAAGTCTTAAAATATATCAATACTTGAAAACTATCTTGGTTATAGTAAACAATACTGAAAATGAAAATGATTAAATGTACTGCAAACTGTCGTGAATATATAAACTCGACTAATAGCCATCAAATTGGAGAATAGTTATTTGCATGATCCAATTCTTTCATGGTAACTTTTCACACTTGTGAAAGATCGTTTGCATGTGTAAAGCATTAGCTACATCCTAGAGTTCACATAAAATTTCACTTAAATAATTATAAGAGAAAAATAAAAGAACTTTAGCAGGCACAGAACAACTACTAGTTTAATTGTGATCTTATTAATAGCGGTTTAAGAAAGCATCACTACTTATTCATGCTATAAATGCATAAGTTATGGAATAAAGTTTGAAAAACATGAAGCGTTTAGGCCGCTTGAGCATAAATTATACTGAAGTAGTTAATTATAGACACAATAGCAGCTACATTGTAAAACTATCTATTATATTTCAACGCTAGTTACCATTAGAGTGTGTGAATGTGGCATCAATAAAATTTTTATGGAATACAGAACAGCAGTACCGGCGCGGTGGAGAAAATTTGCACATTGCTCATTTCCAATTATAACGTTAGTACTCGAGTTATTACTATTATATTCCATTCCAACTATACACTATACATTCATATAATTTATATAATAAATTTTATACATGCATTCTCTTCGTACCTATGGTCAATAAAACTGTTATGAATGGTATTGGAAAATAACGCAAGCGTTAATGGTTGCACGTGATTGCATTTACTGCATTAATTGACACCAATTAATTTTGAAAAAGTATCAATTTATATTTGTAGAGTAACGTTTACAGTGCAAGCAGCAGCCACAAACATTTTCTTACCGTCATGATCAAGCAGAGCCAAAACTGCTAGCCTTCCTGTGGTGTGAGAAGCAAACAGAAGAAAACGTCAGCTATTTCTTCCTTATTTCGAACACAAATTAAGTGTTAACAAAATAAATAGAAATTTATATTAATAAAATTTTAATTAAAATTCTCAACCTTTAAAGTTTAATTTTATAAATTATTTTCCAGAATTTGTGAAGTTTCTTATTTATTATTAGTTAAATAAAGCAATTGAATAAATTTTTAAATGCTATGAATGCTAGCAACTATCGTGAAATTTTATTATAAAAAAATACATATATTTGTGCCCAAAATGGGCAATTTTGTCCAGCAAACAATTCTGTCGTTGGATATGAGTTACGTAGCGTCGATACACGGTGTACGTGATACACGGTGTACGTGATACACGGTGTACGTGATACACGGTGTACGTGATACGCGGTGTACGTGATAAGATTATTTTCACGGAGAAAAATTATTTGTCTCCTCTGTCTATTTTTTTGTGAGCCAGTTGATCGTTTTAAGCATACATAATATTTTAAAGTATAAAATTGAATAAACAATTTTATATACCATAACATTTTATACGGTTATAATATCTCCCTGCGTATAAAAATGAAGATGCAGAAAAATACTATTTCATACTCGATATAAATTCGTTTGGGATATCTTCGTGTTTGATTTAATCCACGTTTTACTCTGTACGAGTTCCTAAAGAAGTAAACAAGTTTTAAAGTGCAATGAATGGGATAGGCCATTTATCAGTGACTAGTGTGACGTCACTCTCTGTCGTAACCTCAAAGAAATAAATGTGCTTCGAGAACAAATAAATTTAGAATATTAAATGAGCCTGAAAACTAATCCTAAGATAGTATTTTGGTGCCTAAGGCACAGACTTTAAATTGACTATTGATGTTGGTGGGGGTGATAAAATGTTTCATTTGAGACGGAGGAGGTAGTTGAATACTGGCCGTATTTACCGTAGACTTTACCGACACGCACTGCACCCGTCGAGCTCTATTTCTCTGCTCGATTACGTGACTCACTATTGCTGATTTAAGCTAAGGTAACGAACTATTGAATTGGTGGTGGTCAGTTTTGGAATGCTAGTAAATGTAATTCAGGTACAGCCATTGGCATGCATAATTAGGAGACAAAGTGGAAAATGGGTATTAAAAATGTCATCAAGAAACGCGCGTTCTTCTTAAAGCCAAGTTTGAATTGGATTATTGCTTAGTTATAAAAACCGCAAGATATGCGTTTCATAGTTCTTGGCATTCCCGAAAGAAGTGAATGATGGATAAATTGCTTAAAGGAACGTTATTAGGTTTGAATTATCGCAACCTTTTAAGGAACAGCTACATTAAAAACAATATCAGCGGATCGGTGTACGAACGCGCCTGCCGCTGTACGTGAGAATTGTAAAGAGGATGCACCCTTGTCATATGACGTGATGATATTGAATCACCTTTAGAATGCAATAGATGATATTTTTACTTGGTATGGAACAGAAAATTTTGCAAGCTGGAATTGACACAAATTCATCGGTGGACCGGTTTCATATCGGATCATATCTATCCATTGTTATCGATTCCTTTAAGTCAAAAATCATAGTTTACAGATTATTTTTCAATAATTATTTTGCGGTCAGACTTCGGGTGTAAATGTATTCAACTGGAATGTATACTATAAGGAGAAGATGCTTCCAGATGTGCTCTGTCGTCAGCACCAGAGCAGCAAAACTTGCCTTGGTGCAAAGCAGTCAGTATGTTTTGGTTTACTCAAGAGCTCACGAAATTATCTAATTAAAAAATTCCTACCGATTTAATTGTGAAAATCCACACTTGATAAAAAAACCGTGTCGCGTGCATTTATTGGAGACTAACTAAACTATTTATATATTGTGGACTAAAGCAGGAGATGAGGGAGGGATGGGTGACAAACTCGAGGGTTAGGGGGGGTACTTCCCTCAGCGATCAATAGCACTGCTTTCGTTCCTCAGAACGCTCCCCTTTACCCGCTTTTCCCCAGCCTTTGTAGACGTGACCAAACGACAATAAAGGTAATTTAGGAGCAAATTATTATCTAAATAGTAGACGGAATGAGATAATTTTCAGGGCATTTGTGTAGGGCCTTGTTATCGATGTTCAGAAAGCTCATTAGTTGCTATCTTAATGTTGCCGGACGCCACTTCGTAATCCTGAGCATTTCAAGCATTTTAAACTCCAAATTGAGTTCATTATCTCCGACAAATGCACAATATTTGTGTTGTAGCTAGGGTATATGATTAAAAAGAGGTAAAATTATTCCTTGGAATGAGCAATTTAGATATGAATTTCCCCCTTCCATATCCTTTGTGAACGCATGTCTCAGTGAATGACGTCTTCATCATGGCGACGATTATTTTGAAACTATTCTAATACAATATTTTTTAATCGAACATCAAATTTTCAAATATTTTCATACCTAATATTGCAGTCAAAATAAATAATCATGATGAAATAAAAATCGTTTATATCCGAGAAACAAACCAATATTTTTTTCTCAGATTCTGACCTAAACAGTTGCGAGCGACTCACTCCTCTTCTGGTAACTTGCGACGGTCAACTAAGCTTTGAAAGAGATTCCAGCGAGCGTCTCGCAGTGCCGACGCTCTAAATTTCATAATTTTTAATAAATGTACGAGCGTCCACGAATTTTTATTGAAATAAACTATCCTCTGTGATCAAACTTGAACTTGAAGAAAATAAGTTTATTACAATGTGTAATGAGCTGTAAACGCTATCCGGATACTATTCCCTAATCCGATGATCCAATATGCGTTTCGTCTTTCTTTTTTATTGAATACAAAATTGATGTTGCGTTTAAAACTTCAATTCGATTTCGGATGAATTTAATTTACCTCTAACATTTGAATTAATTAGTGCAAAATTAGTTGTCATAATAACATTAATGAGGTGTAAGCTTTTGATTAGGTCATTCCGACCTATTGCCGATTTTTTACCACCCGGCCACCTAGCCCATTTCGATTAGAATGTTCTCATTAAATTGTGGGTTTGAACCTCGAACTCGGTGCTACAATCTTGGTAATTTTTACCGCTCTACTACCTCGTGCAGTTCAAACTTCTTAGTAACTTCTACATGTTCAAACATTTTAATAATATTATTGCCATAAATTTAGATGAGCTTATGTTACTCCTCTCTCTGTCTCACCCATTTCTTCTTTGTACCACTGATTCTTTGGCTGGCCGTTCCTATTGGTTCTAAGAGAATGAAGAAAATATTTCATTGTCAGCATTTCCAACAATCGTCTTCGTTAATCAGCACGATAAAGCATTAGCGTGGCACTTAGTATCAAAATATATAACTAAATATATATTCACATAAATTGACTGACATACTGATTAAATTCTGCTAAATATACTGATAATAGTAAGCGGTCAGACAAGTCACATCTGTACAGTGCAGCACAACACGGGTTGGGCTTGAGGACGAGCTGTAAGCGGTTAGACAAGTCACATCTGTACAGTGCAGCTCCGAGGTTATTCCATCTCGAATACGAGGTTAATCCTAAAACCTGCAATTATTTTGCACTCAAATGTGCGAGCAACCACACAGCTCACCTCAATCAAACAGCTTATGCACTTATTACTTTGTGACCACATTCTCATAGTTTTATTGTGAATTTTTTGAGGCCAAGCCCTTGAAACTGAAAAGGGTGTCAGTTTCATGTTATTTAAAAGATATCAGAAAAAATAGCAGAAAATTTTTTAAAGGACAATTATATAAATAATATATTCACTGAGCTAGAATACTTATTTTGTATATCACTTTTAGATATTTTACTCTCGCGATCATTCAGGACGGATAATAAATGCTGGCTTTTCTCCTATTTCTAGTATTTACATTTGGCGAATTTAAAAATGTTTCCAATCTGTTGCAGGATAGGTTTTGTTGCAATGCGTGTGCTCAGATAGATGTATTGATCAAGAGAATATTATCAACAAAAAAAGGATGTAACGATGGATTTTGAGGGGTGTAGTAGTACTAATAGTTATAGCGGTTTCAGCTTTGATTAGACCATTGGACCTGCCACCGCTTCTTAACGTCCAGAACATTTACAATTTATTGCAGTCCCGAACACGCAACTCACTTCTCAAATTTTTCCGTGCTTACCCGATCGGCCTTTTTGCCGGTTCTGACCAGAAACTGTCGCAGGTAGCTGGGTATCCTGCATGGTACTGTGAACTTTAGTTCACAGTACCATGCAGGATACCCAGTTCACCACCGGGCCACCCCGCCACCCCATGATTTAAACGAAGGTTAATCTACATGTCCCGCATGAATCACGAGATTGTCCTGTTCTGAGGACATTATATGGCCTTCGCTGATAGCAACATTCGTTTGCACCACTGTCGTGAGATTTCACCAAATAAATATATAGTTGACACCGATCTAACGCCGATGTAGCTTTGTAGTAAGTTTCAATTAAGTGAGTTTGTTTGTTTTATACCTTGGATAATTTTTAGAAGCTACTCTTCTCATAGATGGTGAAAGTTGTCTGTGAATTCTATCGATTTCAGAACTAACGCCTGAATTTTTGTTCTTTGCAGTTTAAAAAAAAACATGCACCGAATTTTGGAGGCTTTTATTTCACGTATGGGAGAAGAGTGAGAGAGGAGCCTTTTTATCGAAGTATTCGACACGCTATAGTTTATCTGAAGATCACTCTGAAAATAACTATGCTAAAATGTTCATCGACTTTAATTACACTCCATCGGATGACCAAGTGGAGGAGCTGGGCAAGGGTAGAGAGCTATCCTGCCGATTTATTATAAAAAAAGATATGCGAAATCTACGTCATCATCAACGAAAAAGAAGAGCAAGAGGTTGGGAATTTTTCATGAGTCCTGGGTTCCCAAAGTCTTGCGTGATCAGCATGGAGTCAATTGGCTCAAAAATCAATAAAATTGAAGTATAATAATTACGATAAAGCTAATGAATTCCTACATATGAGATTACGACAGTCTAGACAAGCTGCTTGAGGAAATTAATGAATTAAAAAGGCGAAATGAGCAGTATATAAAATGTGTATAAGAACAACCTTTTCGGTAATTATTAACCAAATTGCCTCCATCTATATCGGCAAAACACACGCCTAATTTGTTGGGTTTGGGATATAATTGCGATATACGCATTTTGCCCAAATTATTGCACTATATTTATCAATTTGATATAATTCAAAATTTAGTAACCAAAAGAAACTTACAAATTCAACCATATACAACTCCAAAGGCATCTGTTTTTGATCCGCCTATACTAGCAACAGCAAACAACATCTGTCAAACTTTGGGTAACATGACGAATTAGGCCATCGTGACGCTTAAATAAAGCTTACCAATTCCCCGGGATTCCGGTCATCGTTTTCTCAAACCACAAAGAGGAGTTCACATAAATTGCCTCGGATAGATGAGACTTGGTCTATGTTCCGTGGTGACTTCGAAAATTGCTGCAAAGTTTTCCGTAGAGCTTAAATCCCACAGGAGAAGTTATAAAACGAATTACAACAAACTTTCTGTTGCTCCACTAGCTGATGGTGCTGGTCAGGAGGTGAGTAACCTGCATCAGGAGTTCGTGAGGTCGCTGGAGATCTGTAAAAAATTCACCCGAACGTCTCAACTCCGTAGCGTCAGAGTTCGCAGAGCTCTGGCGCGGCCGGCGTGGATCAACAGGGGACAATTCAACTGGAAACTAAACTAGGAATCACAAAAACCAATGAAGAAGCCCAGTATAAAATTTTACGATTGAAGTTTAGCAAGAAATTCTGAAGTTAGATGAAGAAAAACGGAAATTAAGGAGATAAGGAATTGTAAATCCTTCAGGAGGAAATAATGGGAGCTTAAGGTTGCGTTAGCAATGACGCTTACGAGGAAAACATAATTTTGTCCGATTACTTTCATTTTGGATCGTGTGTCCGTAGCCCCAGGTTCGGTCATGGATCCAACTATTGATGGCTAACCAGGAATGACGGACGTTGGTCCGATGCGAGGGACATCTTGTCAGCGGCCCTGCAATAAAGTTTCTTCTTGCAGATCTGAAGAAGGCACCTTGCTCAATATTTTATTGTAACCTCGGTTATATAGTCGATAGATTGATTTGCTTTGTCGAAAGTTCGTTGCACTCGTCAGATGGTTCCCCTCGTTGGCCCTTGGCCGTTGCAATAGAATTTCTAGTCCCACACAATTGGTAAGCCAAGAAAGCTCATTAGAAGGTACGTGTGGTTCGGACATGGGAAGCGACCCGAAGTCGGTCATCAGAAGGATGCACTTCTTCTAGAAACTTCAGCATAATCAGTAGCATCCGTAAGTGGCAGTTTTAGTCGAAACATATACTCCTGCAGAGCTTTATCTAGTTCTTGAACGTGTTCATACTCGGAGCGTCAACGAGAACGGAGCGTCTCGAAGCGTTCCAATGTCGGTGCATCGAAAGGGGAAACAGTGTTTTCGCATGGAAGAATTGTGCCGTTTTTATTTAATAGCCGTGGCAATTGGATTAGGTTCTTGTTTCATGTTCTAGGTAGTAGTCCTTCTGATGCCTTATATAAGCCATGAGTATACTTGCATACTTCAATGAGGTCGCCATGCAGACGTCGATAACATAGACTTGGAAGCTTTATAATCTCTATTTTTTCTTCATAAGACTTGCCTTATAAGCCTGGAATTTTCTTCATTGCATGTCTTTGAACACTCTCGAATAAATTTTTGTCCTTAAAAATGTCGGTTAAAAAGCGACTTTTTACGTAAGTACAAGCACGTGAGAGCGAAAAACGATAGCTTCGTCGTTTCTGATTTAATGGTGATAGTTTGATCAGTCAAATCAAGAAGTTTATCGACTTTATTAACTTGCGCATCGAATGGTTTAGAAAATTCAACACCTCGTCGACATAAATCTCGACTTTTCCGACTTTTGACTTCTAATCATTCCTCTCTCGTGGCGACCATGTCTTCTCATATTGTAAGCTTGCTGATCACTGTTCTTACTAAGGATAAGTACTATTCGCTTATCAGCATTAAAATGCAGCTGTAGCATCAGCCTAGTCAACTAGGCTATCAGATCTTCTTGCAACTCTTTTTTTTTTCGGCGCATCCGTGACTGTATTGGAATTGGGTGAGTTCTGACCTCTGGTCAAAGCATTCACGCTGCATGAACTCGTAAATCTTTTCGTGCCGTAAAAAATTTAAAGTTCACGTCATGCTCAACAGTTAAAAAAAGTTCAATTAATGAGTATTCATTACAATCCTAATAAATTAAAATATTTAGTTATGCTTGTCAAGATCCTATAAAACAGAAACAATGTACTAAAACATTTGGCACTGTCACATTCGCCTTCCGACCCTTCCCTCCCTACATCCTCCACTCATCAAGACCCCAATATTATCATCCCCTGGAGGGCCTGGACCCCTCCCTCGACCTTCACACGTTCTCCAAATATCTCTTCACACTCTCAAACATAGCCACGGTTGCTCCCTCAGGTAGACCTTCAATGATTGCCCTCCACTCTTCACTTGTTCTCTCATGCCCCTAAAATTTTGGCATCGCTTTCATCTGATCCAGTTCTAGTGTTCATTCCCGCCATTACTTGTTTCCACACCTTCAGCCCATAGTCTTTTACTCGCTTTTTATTTCTCTTTTTCATCACACTCTATCCCAGGCATTCCCAGCTGCACCACGTACTGTCACCACTCATTCGTCTTTTGGCCCAGGGGGCACTTGGCGCACCCATGCTTCATGCATACCTCACTTCACGCATACTTACAGCTGCACGACCTCTATGTGCCCATTTATTCACCCTCATGTTCCACATTTACATTTTTTACACCCAACGTTTAATCGTCCATCTGTATCATAAATTATAAACAGCATACATGGAGCACAAGCTAGACATTGCTTCTACATAATATAGTGATGTCGGCGCTGAAGAATAGGCTTGATGTGGTGATCATAAACGAGACGATTATAACTGGAAAGAGCTAGCTTCCCTTTGCCATGCTACTTTGCACTATTGTATGGTTTGATACAGTTCCGTTTATAAAGACCCGTTAAAATCAACCAACTAGAAAATCTCCGATTAATTGAAGTACATTTAAGAGGCAAAAGGATTTACTGTAAGCAACAGCCGCTCGTGCGGATTCCGAGCTCTTGTTTACCGGTTATAACTTATAAACAATTAAACATCACCACTCACCAGTACGCTCTGCACACTGCACTCAATATGTAGTCTGCAGGAGCTCTCAGCCTCTCAAGCCAAACGGTCATTTTTATTCTTTGCGGTTGTCCTGTGGCTTTAAGGCCACCCAGCGTGGACACCTCGAAAAGAAGAAGAACCCTTCCGCTGAGTTAGCCTGAGTATGACGCAACAGTACTAATGTCAGTAATGAGTAATGACGAATGAGTCAGCTGCGTTCATCGAGTAAACATCTCGTCATGAGTTGTATTCATTGCCCTTGATAAGCTTGATTGCGTAAAGGGTATTATTGCAGATTAACTACATCCAAAAAAAAGGGTGTTTTTTTTTGAATTATATGTTTTTTGGGGTGTAGATTACGAATCTGAAATCCATTTTTGGCGGTCGGCATCGGAAAACCGATTTTTTTCCGACCCAAAAATCGCGCTAAAAATGCCTAAGGCGCCTGTTATGTTACCCGTTACAGTAAATGCTGTCTCTTATACACATCTAGATGTGTATAAGAGACAGGTTGAAGCTTCTTAACCGATGTCATAATTGTCATTGTAATTTTTTACGTCATTGATATCATTGTGGAACCAACGTAAGTAACTAAGGAATTTCCCAGTTCAAATATTTATTGATTTATTACTATCAATTTCGAAACTCCACATATTTCTAAAGGGAGTTGTGATGAGACCATGGGGATGGGGCCAGGGGTCGAACTGTTGAGTTTAGACCATTACAACTTGCAAGAGGGGCCCAAGGGCATGGGGCCTTGCGAAGGGTTAAGACCGACGCACGGCGGTGGACCAATAAGTACTCACAATAATTCCCTGCCACCATGGCATTCAGTGTAAAGTGTATATTTTATGAGTCTTATGTCAAGTTAATGAGGGGTATAAATGTATTGAGTCTAATCAGTCAGAGTTTCTGCATGGTCTTTTTGGCTTGAATAAAGCCATTGTATTTGTCTTTAATATCAAAACCATTTGACTTTCTTTTGCTTCAAATATTCACTATGTAAACTTGTTATATTCATAAGTCATATTACCCTATAAGCTGGCCTATATTTCATTTTTGTATCACCATTATAAAAATTATTATTTTGGTTTGTTTTTCATCAACTACCGGTATATACTTTGTAAACTTGTCATATTTATATCAGCATAAATTTTATTTTTTTTTGTAACACTATTGTAAGTTGTAACTTGTGATGGAAGAAAATACATGCATAATGTCTAGGGTGTAGAGGGTGCAACCATGCAAGCTGCATCACCAAAATATGGATTTTCAGCCCAAAGCGTCACCAGCCATTTTCAAGATCCGTTGCGGGGTAATTTTTAATAAGAAAGTGCTGCAAGCAACTTTGATAGTATGTTATTACTCTCCATGCACCACAACACTTACACACATTGAAACTGATTTCCAGACAAGCTTCACTGCATCCTGATCCATCCGGCATAACGGAAACCTTCCTGTGTGTGCTTGCGGTCTTTCACATTTGCAGTAATTTCTAAAATGCAGTCATTTCAATCCACACGTGTGGGCAAGACCTTCAGAAGGCGTAAATTTTGCTGCTGTTGCATAGACAAATATCTTACAATATTTACCCACTTTCTGCACCCTGGCATAATGTCAGAGTCTGAGCCTGGCATGCCTAACAGTGATGACAAGAATATTGTCCCAGAAACACCATCACAAGATACTGCTGGCCCTCTCCTGCAATCTGGACTTCAACCATCTTCAGATGGAGACATCACCTGCCATCAACCTAAGGCACTAAAAAAACAGCAGAAAAACTAGATCAAGAATGGACTCATGGCACACAAGATGGGTCGCCTAATCCTAGCAGGCACAAACAGTAGATTGTGTCAGAATCTGAACAAGAATTAGACAGATTAAATTAATCAGACCAACAGCCACTCCCACTAATGCTAACTTCAGCAAAACTTTTTGACTATCTGCCAAACAAACATGGTATAAATCACTTTAAGTTCCAACCAATTTGAACCAAGTGATGAATCATCTAGAAACAATAATAGTGACAGTGATAATCAAACAGCTGTCTCCTGACACTAGAAAAAGCTGTGGTGGTGCAGTGGTGAGAGACTGTCTCTCGCACCCAGTTCCTAGGTCTGAGTGCCTCTGAGGACAAGTTCGTCCAGGAGGCTCAGCTCATGGTCAACTCAGCCATTCATCCAACTCTGGTTGGAAAATGAGTAATTGGCTCATGTTGTTTAATGCAATAAAATTATTCTGCCCAGTCAGAGAGCCAGTGATGATGGTAGAACTACCAGTCATTAAGTGCCTGGAAAAACTGACCTATCCCCCCTCCCTTGTTGCCACTACCAGGATGGGCAATTACAACAACAGTCTGACACTAGAAAAATCTCCTTGGACAGTTGGGCCCCATCTTAAATGCAAGAGAATTGCACTAATACTAATAAAAGGTGTAATGTTATTGCAGTAGAATTTGAACCCTCTGAAAGACAGGAACAGGGAAAACTCCTTGCAACAACCAAGCTTGGAAACTGGCTGATCAAATATTTCAGACCAACATTGGATCTTTGCAACTGATGATCAGGTGTCATTGGACCAGTATGCTTGGATGTCAACTTAGAACAGCTTTTAGACCTACAAAAACAACCCTGCAAAAAGTTAAAACCACCTGACTTCCAAAATTTTCTTTATCACTTAAAAAAAGATTCCCTAGTTCTAAAAGTGAACTTGGAAGGAAACCAACTCCCAGAAAAAGTTCTCTTTTAGTGCATACAAAGTAAGAATCTACAACCCACCCCCTCTCAGATGAAACATATGTCTAAAAACCTAGACACCCCTCTAATGGAGCAGCCATTTATCCTGCCACCTGAGACAAGCTTGCAACCAGACCAGGTCTCATAGCATTGCAATCCAGGAACTTCCACTCAAAATCTGCTATGAATTCAATAGGCGCCATTACACTCTTGACAATGTCAAACTCATGAGACTGTCATTTGCACAGTGCTGGAGGAATCCACCAGCATGGTCAGCTTGAAGTGGCCAAACATCAACTGACCAACAATAGCTGAAGCCCCTATCAGGCTGCAATTCTAGGATAGTGCATAAAGTTTCTGTCTATTTTGGGCAGATACATATCCTTTTCCAGCTGTGATTGGTTGATGTGTCATCCTCTCCAGACTGTGATTGGTTGATATGTCATCCTCTCTAGTCTGTGATTGGTTATGGGATTGAGGTGTCATCCTATTGAGACAGTGATTGGTTGTCTGATGGCCTTTCCAATGTGCTATGTGTTTAGGTTAATTTAATACCCCTCTAGAAATCCACTCTAGCCCCTATCTCTACAGCTTGGACTCCAGTCTCCAGCAATCCATCTCATAACTACCGGATTTTCTAAGCTCTAAGCTTGTTTTGAAATTATTTTCACAGGTCCAAATTCTTTGCTATAATTTCAAATTACTTATTTCTGCCAGAATTTCTGTATCCAATGCTTCCTAAAAGTTGAAAATGAATGTTGTTATATTCAAGTCAAAGCTTTGTTAATAATGTAAAATTACTTTCTTAAACCTGCATTTTGATCAACCAACATCATGTGAACACTATTATTTCACCTTGAAAATTTGAATCAATGAATTCTCTGGCCATCAACCACCTATGTTTAAATAAGCATAGATTCATAAGTAATTGGTAGATGAAACACAAACAGAACACAAGTTCCATAAGTTGAGAATTTTCCTGCAGGAAAAATGTAAAAATTTGCAATTTGAATTAATTACTAAGTGTTCTTCACTTAGATGTCTAATGATGGGGCTCCAAGGACTTGGGGGGCATTTTTGGCCCTCTTTTTTTAACTTTGTATTGCCATTCTTTCTTGTTTTGGCCTCCCATTCAAGTGAATCTTGTGATATTCTAATACAGACCAATGCTCAAGTGGAAAGACGATCATTTGGTGCTGGTCTTCACCGGTAAGTTTGTATAGCATATATATAAAATGTTCTCTTGCTTTTTATGCCGTCCTATAGGAACCAAATTTTGTTTTGAATTAGGTTTTGAAGATGAACTCTGTCCAAGTTTTTGATCTTTCTTATTTGCCCGAACTGATAGTAGTGGCAATTCCATTGCAAACCATAGGATTAGATTCTTTTGTGAAAAGATTTTTTCAGCTTAGATTTTGGTCTCTTTATTGATTTTGAGTTAGATCAGAAAAACTAAATTGATTTTTTTATTTTAATTATTAATTAATATCTTATAATATTTTCAATGGTAGTAATAGTTGGATTGAATTATTTTTGTTGAATTTTTTAATTTACTTTTTCCTTGAACTGACCTAGTTAAACATGTATGAAACTAAAGTCTTTTATAACTAACAAATTAATAAAAAAATGTATTTTTAAATGATTGAAATTATTTTATTAGTTTCTTTATTAAAATCAAATTAAGACAAATTAATTTTTAACTACCAGAGTTAAAGTTAAGAAGTTGCCTTGCCAGCGCAGTCAACATCTTTCGTACGTACATATGTGCACTATGGGGACATGGTGGTACATACATATACCTTGTAGAAAGGACAGGGCAAAAGGAGAATTGGCAAGTCATCAATTTTTGTATTTTGTAATAACTCAAAAGTGGTGAAATTTGTCACCCTCTGCTAGAAAAATTTGGCAAATGAGGCATTGTTGTTGAAGTGTTGAGATTTTATTGCATTGATATTGAAGGAAAATAAAAATTGAGCTTTAGCATACCAATGGTTGACATTTTATGGTCTGGCTTAAAACTAACACAAGAAATTGTTAAAGCATGCAAAAGCATTTTAGTCAAGAGATTTTAACACACACAGGATGAAAATGAAATTTGCTTGGATTAATCTTTATTCTGTTGTGAAGTAAATATTTTGAGTGTATAATGTAGTGAGAAACATAGTGAATGTTGATGATGTAGTATAATGTAAAAGAAATTAAGAAACATTATAGAGTGAGTGATGTAGGTAGTATACCTATAATGTAGTGAGAAACCAAAATTGTTTTGTGTTTGTGTGCAAGTACAGCAATGTACTTTTACAGGAGTGCTGCAATACTAGCAAAAAATTTTTGTAATTTTGAGCTGGTTTTTCCACTTAATTAACAACACTCATTAGGTTTTCATTTGTGGTTAATTATTTCTATATAACAGAAATATTATGCATTCAGAATTCTTATGTTTTGGATTATCTCTATAAATAATTGTAATATCATATGTTCAGGAGTTTGTTAGTAGAATCAAAAGATTTTTTGTTTCACCATGGGTAACAGATGAACCGGAAGACTGTGATTTAACTGCATAAATTTTTTTATAGCATAGCATTGCAGGAGTTTCTGCCAACTGGAGCTTATGTTGATCCGGAGCAACTGGCATCTTTTCAGGTGAGTGTAGCAAATTGTGAATTTATTCACAATATTACTCTCTTAAACACCATTGTAAATAACAATTTTTTCAATTAATTTGCTATTTATAGCCTCTCCTCATAGAGGATATATTTGGAATGGCAAAACTGACATAAACCCGGATTATGAATTTTGAAATATTAGTTACTCAAAGAAGTAACATTTGATTATAACAATATGCTCTTACTCTTAGAGTACATACAAGTCTCGAATTAATTTTTTTTGCAAGGATAGTTGAATCTTACACCTACCTTTCATTCTCACATTTAGTGATAATTAACCATGCAGGTTTTACAAAATTTTCCAAGAATACCTGCTTTGATATTCGCCTTTATTTTACACTCTCCTCTTCTGATGCTTCTTTTCATATCCTATGTTCCTGTCTTCATATATCTGTTCATTTTTTGTGCCCTTTTGTTTGCAGACCTTCACGGGTACTCGTTTTAAAACTTTCTTTCCTCAATTTCAATTTTGAGTTCATCTTTTACGTATTTCTCATCGAATTTATTGTCATGTTTTTACCAATTTATATTAGATTTAATGAGTACTCTAATACTTACTCGACAGAGGCAAGGAGATGTGCCGCCTTTCTTGGTAGATTCTCAAGTGGACATAGAAGCGGGGGAGTGGGCAGCGTCACCCACTACAGTTCTCTTCTACCCCAGCATAGTTGAGCAGATCTACCCTCACCAAGAGAAAGACTTCACGTGGCTGGTGAACTACACTGTGCCTCTACATGTGCGCTACCACAGGTACTGATATTCATATTGCGGTCAATTTATTTTTGATGTAGGTATTTATTCATATTCCGTTCAATTTATTTTTGATGTATTTGCAATGTGTTTACTTACATCAATTTACCGACCACGATTTTGATCAAGTAGGTAGTAAACAATGGAACGATATCATTATGATTGATGTGATATCTGCCTTATTAAAATCTAATAACATTATCTTTAAGATCACATAAATTGTGTAGAACAGTTGTGCTATATAAGGACCGCACATGGTTCATTTTTCTCTCAATAATGAATAATAATGAAGTTAAAAAAGAGTAATGACATAACTGTTTTCTAAACAAACTGTACCTAATGCAGAACATTCATTAGACTCACTGAATGCAATTTTTTAACTGGATGAAGACCACGCAGCCTAAGCAGTCATGGCAGCTCTGAAGCAACAGTGCGCATCCCTCACCCCGGTATCTTCCTGCAATGTGGACGTGTTGAAATGCTGGGAAATTGCCTCGATGACGCGGTGCTATTGCCTTGCACATCTCACACAGGAACAACCTTTACTATTGCTAACCAGAAATCCCTTGAAATTCCGGATGAATTATACGAAGAAATGGGCACCAGTCCTGCACCTGGTGCTAAGAAAAGCTCTATAGATCTGTCTAGCGCTCTTGCATCAGATGCAAAAAGGGTGGAAAACTATGAAAATAAGGGCGAAGAGAATCCCAGCGAGACTAAAGATGATATGGACCGAATGGCTGAAGCATCGTCCGAATCTAAGACAGATTTTAATAATGGTGTTGAGGATAAGTCTTCCCAAATACCCAGTCAAGTCAAGTATTCAATTTCACGAAAAGAGGTCGCATTTGCGGGAATGTCCAGTGAGCCACCCAACTGTTACTGGCTGCCCTTACATTCATTCAGTGTGAGTATTAATAAAATGTTCAAAACAGGGGGCGCATGCCGGAGGCCAGCCTTGCCTAACTTCACACTTAGTTCATATTTATTCCGTAGGTGAGAACGCTAGAGGGCATAACAGCCTATGAAGTCGGGTGCTTAAAGCCATAGCGCCGGATATCTATAGACACAAAATAAGCTTGCTAAAGGTAATCATGGCCATACTGCATCTGGCCAAACATCTTCCGGCCTAACCTACACAAGTTGCAACATTTCTCCACCTAAAGCAGACCTGAGCGGGCCTAACCTAACCTCATTGGCTGCAAGAAGGTTGTGAGACGGGACAGAGTGAATAGGTACAGCCGGACGAGGAACTGCCTGCTTATGAGCGAGCACGCTTAAGCAATGGCTGAAGACCTACGGCGCCATTATCTTTCGACAATTTTTTTTATATTTTTTTTTGTCGCTTGTCTGGAGTACGGAGTTCACGCGTAGTAATCACATCTAGCTCTGAGGCTGGGTAAAGTTAATGCATGGTGAAGCTGGGCGTTGTTCCAGGGCTTATTATAGAGTAAAATTTGTGGCCTACGGCTGTGCCTTCCCAAGCAATCAGGCCGGAACCTATAAATGGGGACACAGCCGCAGGCCACAAATTTTACTCCTAAATAAGCACTGATGCCAACGTCCAGCTTCAGCATGCGATAACTATAATCAGCCACACATCTAGAAGCCGCGGACGTCGCTGGAGCACCGTAATCCAGACCAGTAACACGCTGCTTAAAGATAGTAGCTTAGAAGCCCATTGCATAACTACACCTTGTGATAGGTTTAGGGTTTCTTAGTTATTCATGGTATAGATGCTACAGGCTTGTTAGTGATTTTGGTCCTGTCTTACCCCATCTGACTATATATATACCGGTAGTACCTACTTATGTGCACTATGGGGACATAGTGGTACATACATGTAACTATGTCATATTTCAATTAAGTCAATGTTTTTTTTTCAAATAAATTTTACCGTACAAGTTACAAATTTGGTGTCATATTGTATATTTACCAGTTGTAGAAAGGACAGGGCAAAAGGAAAATTAGCAAGTTATAAATTTTCGAATTTTGTAATAACTCAAAGGTGTGAAATTTGTCACCCTCTGCTAGAGAAATTTGGCAAATGAGTCACTGTTGTTGAAGTATTGAGATTTTATTGCATTGATATTTGAGGAAAATAAAAATACCTCAACTAAGAATTTTGTTCAGGTTTTTTGCTTGAGACCTTGGAAATTTGCAATTTCACTGAGCTTTAGCATCCCAATGGTTACCATTTTATGGTTTGGCCCAAAACTAATGCAAGAAATTGTTATGGCATGCAAAAGCATTTTAGTCAAGAGGTTTCAACACAGAATGTAAATGAAATATGCTTGAATTAATCTTTATTCTGTTGTGAAGCAAATATTTCGGCAGGAGCGGCTCACTTTCTGTGTGCCTTCAGCCAGTGAAGCGGACGCTAAACTTATACTCTCCACTTTTGATATGCTGCTGCTGTATAATCACGTACAAAGGGGTTTGAGGTCAAAGTTTTCACTCGAGCCATTTTTCCCAGGAGCTCAACCGTTAGAATCTCGTGAAAATTGGCACAGACATGTACACATATTTTTTCTACCAAACCTTCTTGTCGAATTTCTGAAATTCCCACTCCTTCCCAAAATCCTCAAAAAAGGGGAAAATTTGGTCTAAAAATTACCTAAAATGAGATTGCGGAAACGATCATAGCTCGAAAAGTTGCAAACTCAGAGCAATGCGATTCATTTCAAACGAAAGGTAAAGGATATATTAGGCACTTATTTTTTTAAGTTAGACACTCCATTTGTATATGGTTATTTACTTAAGCTCTTTAGCATTAATATTGCGAAAAAAACTTCTCATATGTACCGTTAAAAATTGTTTTAATGAAGCAATAAGATTGCTCCCTGCCATGTATCTGCAGCCCTTGGGCCCAAACATGAAGGCATTATAACTCTTTATAGAAGAAGATTGAAGAAAATTCACGCAAATAATCATTAGAAAAAAACTAAAATACTCTCTGGGAGGCCCTGGGGGGTCTGCCAGGCCCCTTTTTTGCAAATATTTGTAAGATAAAAGAGTGCTGTGACAATTCCTCCTTACTTCTGAAGCTTCACCGGTTCTACATTACGACATTCCACCTCAAACGACGCTCCGTTTTCTTTGTGACAATGAATTGAATCATGGATAACTATACTAATTCAACCGTGTTGCTAAGTCAAAAGTTGTTTACATAATATAATGTCAAATAATATTCATTCTCCCGATAAAACCATCAATCGTAGTATGAGAACGTATTTTTCAAGCATATATTTGTTAAATTTCAATGTTAACTGAAAACTGCAATTAATAATTAATTCATTTAGTATGGGTTATTCTTAAATCTAATTATATACAATTTCTTTAAATAATGTTCAATCATAAAATGTCCAATAATACTTTTCTGAATCTAAATTGAAGTTTATACTTTATTAATAAATTTATGTATTTATACTAAATTGAAGTCCACCACTGCGTCTAATACAGATTTTTTGTAGGGGGATTATTCTTAACTGCAATTTTTTGCTTTTTCAAGGTCTTTTAACTCGGTAACGTACAGCATTGAAGGAAGTTCAAACAAATTAGAAATAAAATAAAACAAAAATTCCCTTTTTATGGCCCCAAGTGTTGAGCTTAGGGCCCTGGCGTTCCCTCGATTTCTGCCGTCAAACAACAAGAACAAGAGTTGAGAAACTGGTACCACAAGAAGCTTTGAAGCTGTGTTTTTTGCAACCAACGACTAAGTACTTAAACTTTTTGCACTGTTACTTTGATAGAGGAAAACCGACACCCGGGTTATTGATGTTTGGAGTATTTAGGCCGGAGTTCGCATTTCCAACACGTTCAGTGAGTGTTGGAAATGCAAACTCTGGCCACAATCATGCATGGAATCGAAATAGAATTAATAGGAAATTAAACATGTCGTAAAATATACGTCATTTGCTGAGGTTAGGTTCAAGCCAGGAACAAGTTCCTATGGCGACAATCACATAGGGTGGTTAGGTTAGGGTTGATTAGGGTAAGGCAAAGTTAGTTCAGGTTAGGTTAGGAAAGGTTAGGAAAGGTTAGGATAGGTTAAGTTAGGTTAGTTCTTGTTGGGTTATGTAAGGTTAGGCAAGGGAAGGTTAGGTGAAGTAGGGTTAGGTGAGGTAGGATTAGGATAGGTTAGGTTAGGATATGTTAGGCTGTGTTCAGTTCGGTTAGGTTAGGTTAGGGTTTCTTGGCTAGGTAAAACTAATGTAAGATTGTTTTAAACACTAATGATACACAGTGTTCTTCACTTAGATGTCTAATGATGGGGCTCCAAGGACTTGGGGGGCATTTTTGGCCCTCTTTTTTTAACTTTGTATTGCCATTCTTTCTTGTTTTGGCCTCCCATTCAAGTGAATCTTGTGATATTCTAATACAGACCAATGCTCAAGTGGAAAGACGATCATTTGGTGCTGGTCTTCACCGGTAAGTTTGTATAGCATATATATAAAATGTTCTCTTGCTTTTTATGCCGTCCTATAGGAACCAAATTTTGTTTTGAATTAGGTTTTGAAGATGAACTCTGTCCAAGTTTTTGATCTTTCTTATTTGCCCGAACTGATAGTAGTGGCAATTCCATTGCAAACCATAGGATTAGATTCTTTTGTGAAAAGATTTTTTCAGCTTAGATTTTGGTCTCTTTATTGATTTTGAGTTAGATCAGAAAAACTAAATTGATTTTTTTATTTTAATTATTAATTAATATCTTATAATATTTTCAATGGTAGTAATAGTTGGATTGAATTATTTTTGTTGAATTTTTTAATTTACTTTTTCCTTGAACTGACCTAGTTAAACATGTATGAAACTAAAGTCTTTTATAACTAACAAATTAATAAAAAAATGTATTTTTAAATGATTGAAATTATTTTATTAGTTTCTTTATTAAAATCAAATTAAGACAAATTAATTTTTAACTACCAGAGTTAAAGTTAAGAAGTTGCCTTGCCAGCGCAGTCAACATCTTTCGTACGTACATATGTGCACTATGGGGACATGGTGGTACATACATATACCTTGTAGAAAGGACAGGGCAAAAGGAGAATTGGCAAGTCATCAATTTTTGTATTTTGTAATAACTCAAAAGTGGTGAAATTTGTCACCCTCTGCTAGAAAAATTTGGCAAATGAGGCATTGTTGTTGAAGTGTTGAGATTTTATTGCATTGATATTGAAGGAAAATAAAAATTGAGCTTTAGCATACCAATGGTTGACATTTTATGGTCTGGCTTAAAACTAACACAAGAAATTGTTAAAGCATGCAAAAGCATTTTAGTCAAGAGATTTTAACACACACAGGATGAAAATGAAATTTGCTTGGATTAATCTTTATTCTGTTGTGAAGTAAATATTTTGAGTGTATAATGTAGTGAGAAACATAGTGAATGTTGATGATGTAGTATAATGTAAAAGAAATTAAGAAACATTATAGAGTGAGTGATGTAGGTAGTATACCTATAATGTAGTGAGAAACCAAAATTGTTTTGTGTTTGTGTGCAAGTACAGCAATGTACTTTTACAGGAGTGCTGCAATACTAGCAAAAAATTTTTGTAATTTTGAGCTGGTTTTTCCACTTAATTAACAACACTCATTAGGTTTTCATTTGTGGTTAATTATTTCTATATAACAGAAATATTATGCATTCAGAATTCTTGTGTTTTGGATTATCTCTATAAATAATTGTGATATCATATGTTCAGGAGTTGGTTAGTAGAATCAAAAGATTTTTTGTTTTGCCATGGGCAACAGATGAACTGGAAGACTGTGATTTGACTGCATAAATTTTTGTAAAGCATTGCAAATGCATTTCTGTCTGTCAATTTGGAGCCCTTTTGAATGATTTATCTTTTCTTTCAGGATTATTATTCCACCAATTTTTGGGGGAACTGTCAACTGTGGGCTAACTCTGTCAACTGTGGGTCAAAAGGTATATAGTAGGTAGTGATTGCTTATTATTATGCTAGTAGTGATTGCCATCTCACATTACTTCATCACTCTGTTGTAGTTCTGTGGAGACGGTTGTGTGGGTATCCTCCAAACTGCCTCTGGAGTCATGCTCAGTGGCATTGCAGGAGTTTCTGCCAACTGGAGCTTATGTTGATCCGGAGCAACTGGCATCTTTCCAGGTGAGTGTAGCAAATTGTGAATTTATTCATATTACTCTTTTAAACTCCATTGTAAATAAGCATTTATTTCAATTAATTTGCTTAATTTATAGTCTCTCCCCATAGCAGATATATTTGAAATGGCAAACCTGACCTAAACCCGGGTTATGAATTTTGAAATATAAGTAACTTCAAGAAGTAACATTTGATTATATCAATATGCTCTTATTCATAGAGTACCAGTACCTACTAGTCTTGAATTAAATTTTTTGCAAGATTTTTAACATTAATTCCACACATTTTGTCTGTAACCAAATTTTTCCATGCATATGTGTACTGTACTTTGTTTCAACCTTCTAACCATAAATTTTTGTTGAAAAAAAATCCATTATTTTGTGGAACTTTTCTTTTTCTGGTTATTTGAGTCTTAAACTGACTTATCATTCTCACATTTAGTGCTAATTAACTGTGCAGGATTTACAACATTTGCTTTGATGTTATCCATGTATATTTTACACTCTACTGACTCTATTGATGTTTATATTTCATATCCTATCTTCATATCTCTGTTCATTTTTTGCGATTTTGTTACTGCACCTATATTTGTTCAAAAAATCTTTTCCTCAATTTCTATTTGAGTTTGTCTTTGAATTTCCATCAAATTTATTCATGTTTCTATCAATTTATATTAGATTTAACCCTCTACCGCCTGACATGAGTAACCGGAGCAATATTGTCACAAACCTACTTCCCAAAAAATGCCAACAGGCCAAGCGCAAAATACTGATGGTTGCTTGATACTGATACACTTGTACTGTTGGTTGCCGCTACACATGACAACTTTGAAATGTTCTCTATTGTGTACAAACGTCTTCAGGTTGCCACACTCAATAGTTTAAATATAATTTAAGCTTAAAATTATATTTCTGGAGAGTGATATACGGAAGTGAGCCACCCAACTGTTACTGGCTGCCCTTACATTCATTCAGTGTGAGTATTAATAAAACGTTCAAAACAGGGGGCGCATGCCGGAGGCCAGCCTTGCCTAACTTCACACTTAGTTCATATTTATTCCGTAGGTGAGAACGCTAGAGGGCATAACAGCCTATGAAGTCGGGTGCTTAAAGCCATAGCGCCGGATATCTATAGACACAAAATAAGCTTGCTAAAGGTAATCATGGCCATACTGCATCTGGCCAAACATCTTCCGGCCTAACCTACACAAGTTGCAACATTTCTCCACCTAAAGCAGACCTGAGCGGGCCTAACCTAACCTCATTGGCTGCAAGAAGGTTGTGAGACGGGACAGAGTGAATAGGTACAGCCGGACGAGGAACTGCCTGCTTATGAGCGAGCACGCTTAAGCAATGGCTGAAGACCTACGGCGCCATTATCTTTCGACAATTTTTTTTATATTTTTTTTTGTCGCTTGTCTGGAGTACGGAGTTCACGCGTAGTAATCACATCTAGCTCTGAGGCTGGGTAAAGTTAATGCATGGTGAAGCTGGGCGTTGTTCCAGGGCTTATTATAGAGTAAAATTTGTGGCCTACGGCTGTGCCTCCCAAAACAGTCAGGCCGGAACCTATAAATGGGGACACAGCCGCAGGCCACAAATTTTACTCCTAAATAAGCACTGATGCCAACGTCCAGCTTCAGCATGCGATAACTATAATCAGCCACACATCTAGAAGCCGCGGACGTCGCTGGAGCACCGTAATCCAGACCAGTAACACGCTGCTTAAAGATAATAGCGTCGTACGTCTTCAGCCAATACCTAAGCATGCTCGCAAATAAGCAGGCAATTCCGCACCCGGTCTCATCTACTCCTAATCTCTTCACGCTGCCCCGGCTCACGACCTTCTAGCCAATGACTGGCTCTAACTGTTCACTGGAACCGCCCTTCTAAGTTCCTGCTGCCAGTGACGTTAGGTTCGCTCAGGTTTGTTTCAAGTATTACTGCAACTGGTGTAAGTTAGGCCAGAAGAGGTTTGGCCAAATGAAATATGGCCATGCATTCCTTTAGCTTGTTTGAGTGGTGGGTGTGGACAAACAGAGCTATGGTTTAAAGTAGTTGACTTTGCAGGCTGTTATGCCCTCTAATGTTCTTATCCACGGAAATGAATATGAACTAAATGTGGAGTTGGGCAAAGCTGGCCTCCGGCATGCGCCCCTAAAGATAACGGCTGTTAAGGCTGATAAATAATGATTAGAAACAAATTACTGACAAAAATTAATAATTCATTGATTGTGCAATAACTTCGTGACCAAGGCATATTTTGAATTATAATCTATTCGCACAATTCATTACGTAGTTAATTTTCATAATTTTGCAAAATCCGTAACGAAACTTGTACAGTATTGTTTTTAGCTGCTTTGTCCCATTTCTCTCGAACATCGTATTCTGGAATTATCCTGTATCAGGAAATTGATTTATTAATCCAATCAGGTCATAATGCATTAATTCGTTTAAATTTCAATGAAGTGGCATAAAAAAGGGTATTTGTTACGAAATCAAAGTCTGGTTCATTTAATACACGTTTTATAATCATTAATACACGATATTACCATTGACGAGCAAAAAAATAGTCATTATACAGCAGATCCCTGTCTTATTGTAACATATATTTCAACCAACGTGTTGGAATGAATGAGTTAATAATTAGAAAGCTAAATTATTATCGTACTACTTTCTGCCCGACAGACATCGGAAGGGTTGGTGCTGTCCATACCCGTGGGAGACAGTGACCACTTAGAACTCGTGCTCTTCGTCACCACGGCCGTGACGACGGCAGCAACTTTGCTTCTCCTCATGCCTGTCCTGCGCCGGTATAAACTTAGTCTGCAGCTCCAGTCCGCAGCTGCGCCGTTACCTTGTCACTGAAGTTGCAGGAGGTTGGAATTAATTACGGCACCTATTCAATGAAGTTGCAAGAGGTTGGAATTAATTACATCACCTATTCAATGAAGTTGCAAGAGGTTGGAATTAATTACATCACCTAGTCAATGAAGTTGCAGGAGGTTGGAATTAATTACATGACCTAGGCAGTGAAGTTGCAAGAGGTTGAAATTAATTACATAATCTAGGCAGTGAAGTTGCAGGAGGTTTGAATTAATTACGTCACCTGGGCAGTGAAGTTGCAGAAGGTTGAACTTAATTACGTCACCTAGTCAATGAAGTTGCATCGGTGCCGTAACCGTGCACCGTTTAGTATTTCCAACGCGTCTTCTACTGAATCGCTCGTAGGTATAAATTAAGAAGGCGAAATGCGTGTCATGCGAACAGGGTCAACATCTTGATCTTCAATACTATACGCTATTACAGTATATTAATAATAATGACTTGATCTCCACTTCATATTGAATATAGACTAGGAAATATATTTTGTTATAATGTCGCTATCAAAATTTCAGTATTCCCAAACGATTGATATAACACATCAGTTCAACGCGATACTACTTACGGTGCGTAGACAGTTAACGTACGAGGAGAGATGAATGTTATTATATAATTTTGCTCAATTGCGTTAAATTGTGTTTAATTACGTTAAATAATTATAATGGTGCTCTAATATATTTGAATATTTTGCACATATGCAGATTCTCAATATGTGCAATTCCTGTGATAGTCTGAACGGATGGCTCGTTACGTATTCGTTTATGGGCCTCAGAGCTTCTCCTAACTAATCAGCTCGTTATTTGTACATGTGAATCTTTCAAAATATTTCTTTCAATGTAAATTTATTGTAAAAGTTAAGTCTCTTACTTGGTTTAAATTATCCCTCCTCGTCCATTTATGTCACCCCAGCCGTTCAGAAATCCATGCGAGCAGCGGTAGGAGCGCGTCTTGGTGCAAAGCGTGCTCGCAGTCCCGTACGCGCACAAACTCGCCTTCAACCTTGACAAAAAACGCATGTTGATAGCATAAGAATACTGTCCTGGTCGTCACAAATGATAATAGTAATCTTGGTATTACACATGTGCTGTTCAATTTGAAATAAAGTATTGACATGGAATAGAAACGTAAATTCGCATAGAACAGGAGTCTTCGTAACTACGGCCCGTGGTTAGGTTCCATCCGGCCCGCCGAGGTTATCTCTTAGTTCAACCTATTGTTTACAAAAATCGAGCGTGGCGTTTATTTCTGGTTACGCATGAACTGAAAACAGTAACCGGCCCGCGAAAGTCTCTGAAAGAGTGCTCTTGGCCCGTGGTGATAAAAGTTTGAAGGCCCCTGGCATAGAATAAGAACACACGAACCTGGGTAGTTAAGCTCGCGTCTAAATAGAAATTATTTTCTTTTCGGTGCAGTTCAATCGCCGAAATGCGATCAAACCAGTCAACCAATCCGTCATAGGAATGACGGGTTTGTTTACGTGTCTTGATCGCAGTGACGTAACAAGAAAGCTGAACTGTAAGGCGGAAATCCTCGTGGGTCAACCTTATATTGTTCAACCATGATGCAGAGAACGCAATATTGGTATGCATAAACTCGTTTGTTAATTTATTTATAAGATATTTTCAATCTCGGTATCGTGTACAGGAAATCGTAGCAAGAGAAGGGACACACTTACCCCTCTCCGTTTGAGCTCTGCGTGTGTTTGCAAGCCCCAGGACGGCAGCACCAGCGTGTCTTCGTCTCCATGGCTCTGGTAGAGCGGAGGCAACCGCGTTCGCTCCTCAGCACTCAAGTTGTCAAGCTCCTGTACAAAAAAATTACCTCTCAGGATTATCCTTCGAAAAATTATTGGGGTTAATCTCAATGAAAATAATAAGATCGTACAATAATAATTAAATGTAAGTAATATGTGCGCAACATTTGTGTGATAACTAGATAGGACTCGCTTAGCATCTTCTAAAGCTCAAGTTTTCTCCAATTAGAGTTGCTATTCATCTGTAAGAAATTTTGCTGTACAGACATGCGTAAGTTGGAACTTTGTCAGGAGCTTTTCCGCACTTGTCGCACTGGTTCCCTGAACTGATATGTAATATATATTGGCGCTATATATTCATGTTCTATACTTAATATCATTGAAAAAATACAGATACCATTACTGGAGCATAACAATTCCTTCACGCAGATATCATCCAGCCAATATTCACATAGCAAACAGGCCTGGGCACTGCGTGTGAAGCTATAGAAAGATCAATAACTCAATATTTCAATAACTCAATAACGCACTAACTCAATAACTCAATAGAATTGATATTTGTGAAAAAAATGACTTAATTTCAACCGTTAATCAAATTTCGAGCTACGGTACTAAAAATAATTGAAAATACTTGCATACAATTTGTGTGACAAATAAAAGGTTGACCCGACCCATGGTTGAACTAGTATAAGGTTTACCCGACCCATGGTTGAACTAGTACAAGGTTGACCCGACCCATGGTCGAACTAGTATAAGGTTGACCCATCAGAAGCCCATTTTTTTCGGAAATAGCTCGTTGTTCACCTGTGACGTCACGGGCATTAAGCAATAACCGAAATGCGATCAAACCAGTCAACCAATCCGTCATGGGAATGACGGGATTGTTTACGTTTCTTGATCGCAGTGACGTAAGAAGAAAGCTGAACTGTAAGGCGGAACTTCTCGTGGGTCAACCTTATATAGTTCAACCATGAGACCTACAGACTTCATAGCATCCAACTCTCGCGCATTATAACGTGTCTGATGGTTGGCTGTATTAATTTACCATTTACCAGGAAACAACACGAAACCGAGATTTAAAATATAATATAAATAAATTAACGAACGAGTTTATGCATTTCAATATTGCGTTCTCTGCACCATGGTTGAACTATATAAGGTTGACCCACGAGGATTTCCGTCTTTCAGTTCAGCTTTCTTGTCACGTCACTGAGATCGAGATACGTAAACAATCCCGTAATTCCCATGATGGACTGGTTAACTGATTTGATCGCATTTCGGTGATCGTTTAATGCCTGTGACGTCACTGAGATCAGTGACGTCACAGGCGAACAACAAACTACATCCGCAAAAATGAGCTTATCATGGGTCAACCTTATAATAGTTCAAACATGCTTTGCACCATCACTGATTAAAGTCACTCACCGACCAATATTCTACGGAGCGGAACACCGCTTTTCACTTGCTCGTCGATTAGACCGCACACAGCAGCGACAGCCTCGTTCGTTGACTGTATATCTTCAGGAGCACTTATGTCAATGGCAACCCTGGACGTATTTAATGATTATTAATTTAACTTGATAATAATTAATGCAATATTGTGTGCTTAAGAAGTAGGTATACCTATGAACATCGAAATCCTTATTTACCGAATTTTAATTGGTCGCCAAAAAAGTAAAGAACTAAAACGAATCGCGACTTCAAGATTACATGGTGGTCGCTTACTCAAGTATACATGACACAAATATACAAACGCCGTTTTATTTAAGAGAACATTATTAATTCATTTTCAAAATAAATGCCAAAAATAAGAAATTAGTGACCCTTGATGCGATTAAAAAAAATTTCTCGTTTTGTTCACATGCACAATGCTTGAAAAATTGGCCGCAAGAATTCACCTGTTCATCCACACATTAGACAGCGACTGAGCAGGAGTGTAAAATAAAGGCGCCGCGCTGGGGAAAAGTAAGTTGGTCTGCTCAAACTCCAGTCGTTTTCCGAGCTCGCTGCACCACCAACCGTAAAAGTTGGCACCCGTATCTCCTGCAATTTAAGCTGCCTAATCATTTATAAAGCAAAACATGGAATGTATCGTTATATACGCCTAGAATAGAATCTAAATANGCAGCAGGATGGAGGCTGTCTCTTATACACATCTAGATGTGTATAAGAGACAGGAGCTGGGATCAAACCCGCGCCTCTCTGCGCCAATCTTGGTACTCTGAACTGTAACCACTGGGCCACCCTGCCATGAGGGGCGTTGTAAAATGCACATGTTGGTGCATTTTATTTGCAAATTTCCTCCTGTACTTCCTAGTACCCTTATATTATAATAATCTCAGGGATTTCAACCCTTGCTTGACTACCAGAATAAAATAGCCTATATCTCTGGCAGCTCCTTTTATTATCCTACATCATCTGGGCTTCAGTAGAACCCTCCAAATTCCCACAATAGCTACGTTACCCTAACCCCCTATAGATTTTATAGGAAAAATATAATGATATCTAAAACAATGACTGGAAACCGAGGGCTCGCCAAAAACCCTTAGTGGGATAAGCAGAGAGAAATAAAAAAACGAACTCTCAATTAATTCTTAATAAAGGCTTTTGCTGTGAAAATGACCTGCGAATATCGGGCATAAATGATTTGAAATGTTGAAATTAAATTGTGAGCCAAGTTCAAAGTTTACAAGAGACGAAGTCCGGTAAACGATCTCAAAAGATCTACAACTGCGTAGCTTTCGCTCTGCTTTTCCCACCTCCTGCGGAGAAAATTTTTAAACCTGAACTCGCGTTTCCTAAGTAATTCATTCTAGAGCCACGCATTCACCTAATAATAATTAGTAAAACAAAAGAACAAAATCTGCATGTGATTTTTCATAACGTTCGATGCTGTTGAAGTAACCTACTCGTAATTCCTTGTCTGTCTCAACAGCTCGTTGTCTTATCGTACAAGATTAGGACAATCAGAAAAGAACAATTCTAAAACGAAAATTGGCAAAAGTTGGACATGGAATAGAAGTATACCGTCAGGAAACACTGTAGTTTTTCGTCCACATAAACGCAATCGTCTTAACGCTAATTTGTAAAGTTTGTTACAAATTAGAAATAAATGGCATGGAAGTTGAGGCATTGGTCGTGATATTCACCTTACGAACGACACCGCAGCGATAACTCAATAGTCGCTTGGCAGTAAATTGAAAACGTTGAGAGCTACCAACGCAAAAATTATACGTAAGCTAGTCGCAATTCCAGGAAAAACATTTCCTGACCACATAAACTAAAAAAATTTTGATGAAACAATCCTACTAAACATTCTTTTGAATAAGAAAAAGTCGGTCAGCGTGTCCTAGGAAAGAAAGGGAATCGTAGCGGAAATAAACGTGTTCCTCAAGTCTATACCTATCATTATACAAAATACGCCAGGTTAATAAAACATAACTACAAAAGATAATATTGGATTGGTAATCAATCAACAGCCTCAGGGAAGACGAGGAAGTCGTGGCGGAAATACAGGTACTCCCTCAGAGGCTGCGGCAACACGTCTCGCAGTCCTTCCGTTTTTTCTTCAATCCTGCAGTGGCCGAGGGAGGCGCGGATGGAGAGGCGGCACAGCTCCTGGAGCGACCGCAGCGGCGCTGCACACACAATAATAGAATAGAAGTATCAGCAATGAAGAAGATTAAGGGTTGGGTGTGATCATGCTGGCATATATCATATATCAATATAGCTATCTCAATCAATCGTCAGCTATGGAAAGATCGGGTTCCAAAGGCCGGATCCCTTGTGAATCAAGCCACGAAAAGTTNTACTTACGCTCTATTTTCTTGTCTATGATTGGTGGATTTTGCTTGAAAGGCCGTCAATGATTGGCTGATGAACTTACGATCTCTTAACTTTTTTTGAAAGTATGGGCCCTGCTATATAAGCACCATAAAATTAGCGCCAATAGTTGTTTTACTGTGGTGACCGTCGCATGAGTATGGTCTCCGCAGCGGCTTCGGCAGTTGGGCGGCAGAGGCCATGAGACGTTCAACGTTTACAACGCCAGCAATCAGAAGATTCATGTATGGAGCACGGCGTAACAATTCTCATTGGTACGGTCATCAGCACAGTACGGTTCCAAGTCTCATCGGAAAACGCATACAGTCACATTCTTTGTCATCAGCAGTACGGCAACGAGCTTGGAGAAATAAAATGTATACAAAAAATTTTTAAAGACCACGTTTTTCATCATCTATAGATAGATGAAAAACGTTTTTCAACATCTAAAACGAAAAACGTGGGGCGCATATGTATTTAATTGTTTGGTGATTACTTGATATGATGAATATGATGGTTCATTGAACATTTGATAAATTGAATTATGCGTCAGTCATTAACAATGTTCGATACTTCATCTGAGATCATGATCTTCGGTCAATCGCTGTGTAAGTACGTATATTTCTACCACTCGAAATAATCATTTATCAAGGTACTATTTGAAGAACTGGAACTTGCAACGCACAGCTTAAACAAACTTCTCATTATTTCACTCATGCATTCCCTTGTAAAGCACCCTGAATGTCGCTAAAGATTTAATAACTCACAATTGTTTTTCCCCAAATGATTCAAACCCACCTTCGGGCGCACGGTAGCGCGTCGTCTCCTCCGAAAAATATGAATGATTGTAGTCGTCATGCTCGAACTTCACTCGGCCGAATGCCATCATCTTCATCTTGCGGCTAAAGCGAGGAGCGTAGCGATGAGTAATGAACTCGATCGACGGCGAGAGTTTGTCGGCCTTCCTCTCGATCAGGTCTATAGGACTACGGCCGATTCGCACACTGGGTGAGGAAGAGGAAAAATTAACACACGTACTACATGCCGGAATATACGAGTGATATATGCCATCACGATCACTGCACAAGGCAGTTAGACACGTTAGAAGTGACACTCACTTGCAACTGCTCGGACTTATGTCGTGCACGCCGAGATGCAGCATCATGAGTAAAGGAATTCGTGCACCTACAAGCAATGCCCGTGCGCAGGCATCCTGGAGTACGTACGACCTGATACAAACAAATAAAAAAGATTTATCACTCTCAAAAATTAAACCGCTTCTTACACGACTGTTGACGGCAACGTAAATGCAATATTTCCAATCATTATCATGTTGAGCAGAAAGTCAAAAATAAAAAATATCACTATTTACGGACTAAATATTTCATATCAATTACACAAATTCCGAGAATTATTTCGTTGGGAAAGCGTTCAGCTAAACTGAGACTACCTTTAACCCACCTGAACCAACATTCGCCATCAAGGCAGCAGTTCCTGGTCAGTTCCGATAATAAAATTCGGTACGGTGATTCACGGTCGTGTACAACTGCTTGGAGATCTGGGCTACGCAACTTGAGGGCCTTATCAAGATATTCTACCAAGTAGTCGTTCATGATGAAAGTTGTCAAACATGATGCAGTTAATTTGAAACCTGAAAATGGCCAAGTCATCCATGTTATAAAGTATACGAGATACGGACTTGGAGTAGATTAATTGTGAGTTATTATTGTTATAGAGAGTTATTATTTATTACTCTTATAGACGCTCATTTAATTCTGCCGGTTAGAAGTAATGTGTAGTGCACGTCACTGCAGCTCAGGCATGCGTGTAGTTGAAGAGACAACGTGAAAAAAAATAAAGAGTAAGGATAAGCGCATGCAGTTTAGACAGTTTTAAGACGTCATGAAGCAACGAAATGAATAATAATAATAATAATGTTAATGATAAATCAAGAGCCTAATAAAACGAATTACCCACCTCTTCGCTTGAACACTGGCAGTAACTGCAAGAAGAGCGGAATGGAACCAACAGTCAAATTGTAGAGCAGAAAAATGAGCAGATTTATTTCATTTCGACTGCATTCACTCTGTCGGAACATAGGTAAAGAGAGCTATTTGAAAACCGGCAATCATCTCACTTTCGTGAGCATGAAATTGACAAGCAACGCTTTTGGAGTTGAATAATCAACATTCACAAGATTGTTTTTTTCATTCGGTGTGGTATTTTTTATCCAGTAAGATATTATATGCCAAAGAACAGACTAGATAAAGCTATGGAAAAATATATGTTCAGATTTGAAATGCCTAGCACCATATCGAACTCGGTGGAAATCTAGTAGCTTCTTCAAACTATCGTCAGTCATGAAAATATCCGGTCAAATGAACCGATTTTAGATCTTCTATGAACAAGGCACGAAAAGGAAAAGAATCAGCGACAGGCCACATCAGGCCTACACTTCAGCGCCGAGATCAATATGTTATGTTACCTATGTTAAATGGTTAACCTACCAATAAATGGAGGTCGAGCAGGGAATCTCGACGTGACATCCGAGACTCGTAAATCCACAACTCAATAGGCAGAGCATGTAATTCAATCATTTGGAAGAGGTGCTTCACAGCTGCCACTCTGGAAACACAGAAATCTTTTATGGCTTACATAGCATTGAAAATATGTTTTTTAATATTTGTATCATGTTTATAGTAATACAGTTCCAATAACTTTTAAACGCAGACCAGAGAAGAAAATATTTAAAAATTATTCTTTGAGCTTCAGCAAACGTACGGAAATGGACAACGCACATTATGACACACCATATAATAAGTTTATATTCTAACCGATCTTGTACGCTAATTTAAAATTATAATTCGAAATTCTGTAGTGTTGTACTTGGCCTACGTACACGGGAAAGTCAACAAACCGCTGACACTGGCAGGCAGTGAATTCCAGGCTTTTTTTCCATTCACCTAACAATTGCTCATTTTCGCTAACTGGATTCCTACACAGATGTAGCTAACATTCAACCTGACATGTGAAATACGACCTTACACAGATATGTGTTCTTGAACAAAATTTTCATCAGACTCACCGTAATTCCAGAGCAGTTTGTGTCTAGGATTTGAGATTGAAAATTTCATCAGACTCACCGTAATTCCAGAGCAGTTTGTGTCTTGGAATTGAGATTGAAAATTTTATCAGACTCACCGTAATTCCAGAGCAGTTTGTGTCTTGGAATTGAGATTGTCGAGCGTTCCAGTTTTGAGCGCAATCTTGCATTCGAGTTGTCGACAAGCCCCGTCACAATCTACTTCATCATGAGCAGCCCTCGGGCAGTACCTTAAGAGAAAGTAAATTAAGTCATTCTTCCGGCAGGTTTCCGAATCCTTATCACGGGAAACAGTACACTGGCAATTTGGTTGCTTGTTTCAGTGAAAGATCCAAAAATGTAATGAAAGTTATTCAGTTTACTTTAGTGGCCACATGTTCACTAGCGCTTCAGTAATTTAGCTATCTCGCACCGAAAGTCAGATGAACATCACCAAAGAGGTAGAAGGTCTCAACTATCAAAAGTTTCTCAAATTAAAAATTGTTCATCACCCACGAGGGGTGGAAGTTCTCAGATGTCCAGCCCGCTAAAGCTGGCTCGAAGGAAGCAGCGTTAGCATCTCAAAGAGACGAAGTGACAAGGAGGGACAGGTGAAGAGCAATAGAAACGAAGGCACTCGGACAAGAGGTCGCTTACACGGGACGTCGGCCGCCCGCACGAGAGACAGAGAAGGGAAATGTAAGGAATCCTACCTACATAATAACATAATATAAGGAATTCAAACTACATTATAACTTAATGTAAGGAATCCTACCTACTTAATAACTTTTAACCCCACAACTGAGACCCGCAGTCAGACACCGCGAGCTCAGCGGTAGGGCGCTCAGGAACAATCCTCCTAGGAGCGCGGAATCCCATAAGACTTCTGACGAGCACAGACAGCCGTCAGAAGTCCCCCCTGGGTAAGTTATTCAACAGTGAAAAGGCCGTGTATTATTTGTGAACTTATTTGGGTGAGACTACAACAAAAATACCTCGCATAATCGCACAGCTACAGCTATTACTTACTGGAAGCACATCTGGATGAGTTTGAACATCAGTTTAGGCTGCCTCATCGAGTGAACCTTAGATATGCACGTAGTCATGGCACTCAAGTACCTGAAAAATTCCTTTTTGTAACTTTTAAACAAGAAAAATTTCTGCGTTGCTAAAGAGATATTGAAAATCACTCATTACTTTGGCAAAAGAAATAAAATTACAAGAAAAAACCAATGCTTTTCCACCAGACATCTGACACTTGCCTGACAATTTACTTCTCAATTTATCGGTCGAAGTTTCTGTAGATTCCAACCTATTGAAATTTAGACGAACAGCTGCTACATTGCAACTTCATTAAATCGAGCTTTGAGAGAAGTAATAACTATGGAAATTCTACTGAACCTGACCAGAATGAATATTCTGATTAACAAAGTAAGTAAATCTGCTTCATCGTAAACGATCAAGATATCAAAATTTCCTCTTCTGAAGACAAATCTATATAGTATATAGTTGTTTATACCTTAAGAGCCAGCAAAAAATATGCAATTGATATAGAACTTTTAAGATCTCACCTCTTCTTGTAATTCCAGTCACATCCTCTGGTGTGTACAAATAAATTATTTATAAATTGAAGAAAGTCATCCCGCAATGCAAGTACAGGGTAATGCACTAGCAGGTACATAACGCAGTCATGGTACTGAGCGCAAATGGCAGCCTCTACCAAATCCATCGTCACGAACTCCCTGCATCACATTTGTAAAGAACAATGTCAATGAGATAACATTAAATTGGAATCTATACAAAATTTATTTCATTCAACACAATAACTATCTGGGTTGGCTACAGCATTGCCATAAAATTTCAACCCAAAATATAACTTCAATTCATTCCTAATAAATCAATAGTATTACATTATTTAATAATTGTTCAGACATTTAAATAACAAGAGAGTCAAATTTAAACAAACCGTACGTCTTGAGCTACTATCAAACTACAAATGATCCAATCTCGAAAATGAAATTTATAATGGGGATATAAGTACGTCAAGCAGAATATAATGTGATATTTTGACAAAATTATAACAATGAATCGCACACAAATAATGGCACTGCTGATCATTATAAATAATTAATCATTATAAATAAATAATTAATAATAATAATTTATAAACCCTGATCATTTTTGTAAACCAGTCATGAATAACATTAACACAAACTGCAGACAAGGATGAATTGCAAAAAAAAAATGGCAGCATTTTTTTTATTTGAAGGCAAGAACAACATAAATGAGACAGGATGATAAGCTACTGCTACAAAAAATAATGCACACTTGCCCTAACAGATTGGTAAATAATCGTCCAAGTATTACAAAAGTTAGGAAAGTCAAAAAGCAGATGCAAATTTTGTGCTGCTGTATCACTCACCGATCAAGGCCATTCCCAATCAATAGGAGCTTCTTAAACTGGTCAATGAAGTGTCAATGTTCAACAAACTTCAATTGGATGTATTTTTTTTTTGTTGGCAATGAAGTGTCTATGTTCAACAAACTTCAATTGGATGTATTTTTTTTTGTTGGCAATGAAGTGTCTATGTTCAACAAACTTCAATCGGATGTGTTTTTTTTTGTTGGCAATGAAGTGTCTATGTTCAACAAACTTCAATTGGATGTGTATTTTTTTTTGTTGGCAATGAAGTGTCTATATTCAACAAACTTCAACCGTATGTTTTTTTTGTTGACAATGAAGTGTCTATATTCAACAAACTTCAATCGGATGTTTTTTTTTGTTGGCAATGAAGTGTCTATATTCAACAAACTTCAATCGGATGTTTTTTTTTGGTTGGCAATAAATAATATAGTGTTTGTATCTTCATCAATCACAACAAGGGCCGCCTGGTACTTGAAACAAACAGCACTCACTCTTGTAAAGAAGGAGTCGGGAGGCTTGCAACGTTCGTAAGAATCTTTTGTCAACTGTGCCCCAGCATCAAGCAGCAGCTCAACGCCGCGCCACCAATGGTTCTTCAAAGCTGAAAATGTTGTATGAAATAATTATATACGTTTACTGAGCCCTTTTTAATATTTTATGAATGCTTCCAAAATAATCCAATTAAAAATGCACAAAATGAAAACTGAGATGTTGTAAAAAGTTGTATGTAATAATTATATACGTTTACTGAGCACTTGTTAATATTTTATGAATGCTTTCAAAATAATCCAATTACAAAATGATGCACAAAATGAAAAATGATATTTTGTAAAAACTGTTTCCATTATATGAGAAATAGCATACTGAGTTAGATCTCTGAGCTAGCTTTCACATTTGACAACATTTCAGGGTTCAGCAGCATCATGGTATTCAACACTGCAAATTGTTGTACACATTTTATCCAACAACAAAAAAATTTGCTCCAAACTAAGGCTATCAGGCAGGTAACTCTTACCATGCATTAGAGGCAGAGAGAACCGATATTTCTGAGGCAGGTTTGGATTAGCACCGGCATCCAGAAGTGTCACCAGAATTACTTCTTGTAAAATTTCCTGTAAAATTTATTTGTATATGTAAAGTGCATAAATAGAAAAATACAAACATCAGGTTGGAATGAAAAGAAGGAAGGCTTAATAAACTGAAGTTGTAAACAATGTAATGTGTTTCTAAAAGGGATTATTACAAATATGCTAACACACATAACAAGACATTTCTCAAGATATTTAGAAGGCACGTTGGACTATGATACAACCTAATAAAATAATCATAGAAGTAAAGCAGAACAAATAAGATTTTAAAATGTGAAGCAAAATAAAAGGCTTAATGAAAAAGCAGATGGATAATTAAAAGCAGATAGAAAATAATTTTAAACACACATTCTTATTACCTCGTGCACGTCTGAAGATGTGAAATTTTTACAGACAATCCGGAGTGCAGTGGAACAATCATTCCCCTCTTTGTTGACAAATCTTTCATCTGCAAAGTATAATAGAAAAGAAAATAGCTAATTACTAGGGAATTTTTTTATTATTTTCTAAAATGAAACAGCTATGGAAGAAAATAAAAACAAGGAGTTTTTTTAGCAATTTTTTGGATGCAGTACAGTTATCATTGCGCTCTAAATAACAAGATACTCAAATGTAAACATGTATATAATAAATTGATTGAAATTACTAAATAAAAAGTAGCTGCAAAAATAGCAATATGGTAGTAAAATGACAAACTACTTTATATGCACATTAGAACAAGTTAAAAAAAAAAATTCAAGCACAACCCATAACCAATGCAGATAATCCCAAAATGTGCACATTTGAACAAGTTAAAAAAAAATTCAAGCACAACCCATAACCAATGCAGATAATCCCAAAGGTCTGAATTTTGATCCCCTTGATGCAGAAGTCATTCTCAAATGGTTTGGCCAATAGAGGATTGGGTGGGCATTTCATTTATTGGGGGAGGGCTGCTGTACATTTGCATACCCTAGCTCTAGATTGCATGAATGGTTTGTCAGTGACACACACAAAAGCAGCAAAATGTAACTCAGTACTCACTGCAGTGAGTGACAGATAGCGCATTTTCACGTAGACAAAAACGTGAAGTCACGGACAGACAGGCAGACAGACATGACCAGCACAATAGCGCCTTTTTTTCATAAATGAGAAAATGCGCTAATAAGCCTGACATACATGGTACAGCAACTGAGAAAGTCCTACCTGCCTAACAGCATAAGACATTCAGCAACAGCAATGCATTTATTGACTGAACAATACACATTGAAGATGAGAAAGCAAAAACTTTTTGGCCAACTGGCCAAAAAGTTTGTAGGGAAGCAAGCAGGATTAGTAACTCCAAACTATGCTGCAAAGCAGGCCAATAAAATTGAATGCCTTTAAAAAAAAAAATTTTAGCAAATTTCAATTGATTTTACAGAAGGTACGGTACCTATATTAGTAATAGTCACTGAGTAATAAGTGAGAAAAGTTTCAGAAATTTCAACATTCAAACCAACCATTTCCAATCATAATTTAGCCTATGGGATTGAATCAGTAGGTAATTGAAAATTATGAGTAGTTTTCTATGGTAATTGAATGCACACTGAGGTTTAGCAATTCAACTTTGCTGCAGTCAACATAGAACACTTCATTTAAAAATGATGCATTTGAAATCTTATCAAGAATATTAACAATTAGTCACATTGATAATAAAGTGTTCTATGTTCACTTAACTCTAGGACATGCGGGAATATGTGTGAAAACATTTCAACAATATGGATTGCAATAAATAACTGCAAACATAGCAAACCTACTGGCATGATAGCTATAGATCTTAAGTGCAATATTAAATTCATAATTGAGCCAAGACTTACGTATCTAAAGTTACCAATCTTACAAACATTCTTATTGAAATTTTAGGAAAATTGTAGCAACTACCGCTAGGTTATTTTTATTTTAAATAATCTGCCATATGATGTACAATTCTCAAGCATTCTGTGATGGCTGGTTGAAATTGCATTTTCCCGTTCATCTGTTGGATCCACAAAAAAATAATAATAATAATGCAACTACATAATATCTGGATTTTGATAGAATGGGAACACTTTAAATATCAGCCCTGCTGATATCTATCAGAGGAATTTGCTACCGCTAAAGTCACAGAAGACATTTACATCCTCTCTGTACTATACCAAATATTTTAAATATATTTTAATTATTACCAATATTTTACCTGTAATTTGGGATTATTTTAAATATTACACAATTACCTGAATACTGGAGTAGCTTCCTGATGGCTGAGAGATCCTTTGCTCTGACTGCATGGTGGAGTGCTGTATATCCTACAACATCAGCTGCACAGCTGTTGTCAGTGATATGATTATGATGCCGCCACATCTTTTCTAGGAAGGCAACAGCTTCCTGGAAGAAATGTAAGAAACTTGTTACTTGAAAAGATTTTGGCAGGTGGAAATGTGTGCGGAATGGTGCCAGTGGCCAGAAAAAATACGAGGATTTACACATTCATGGGATTTCCAAAATGTACAACAAAGAATTAACTGCTGCACTTGCAAGCATTAAAGACAACTAATTTTGATTAATGAAACCACAAACTCATACGGTACATGTTTTCATAGTACGGTACATGTTTTTTTCATACATTCAATTTAAAAGAGACTAATTTTCTAAAAATTTAAGATGATCGCTTGTATTGGAGCATTTGCCAGTATTGGAGCAAGTGTGCTCCTATTTTTGGCCACCACTTTCAATTACAAGGTACATGGTCATTTAAAAGGCATTTAGAATTCCACCACATTCTAATTGCTACTTTTCAGTCATATTATAATTTTCTTATATCATGAGCATTGAGTCATCCTCTTCTCATATGTTATATGTCATTCATTGTTCACTATACAAATCTCTCCATGTTATTTATTTATTTTGTGTTGGCAATCGTCCCAGAATTGTATTCTCCTGATTGGGGTAAACAATTATGAATTTTGTATCCTATTGTTATCCCGCTACTGATTTTCTTCTGAGAATCACGGCCCATGATTAATGGTGAATGTACACAAATTCCCATGAATCTGTCCAATTAACCAATTTTAGCTGCAGGATGGAATTCTAAACTTGATTCACAAGGGATCCGGCCTTTGGAACCCGATCTTTCTATAACTGACGATTGATTGAGATAGCTGCTGGACTGAGAAGTTACGTACTATTGGAAGTTACGATTTGTGGGAAGTTCTGTAGCGACTTGAATTTATATCTCGCAATTCTGTCTGTTCATGTGAAATTAATCATCCTAATTCATTGTGCGCCAACTTGTTGCTTGATATGTAAAAGTTCCGAATATTAAATTATTGGATAATAATTCTGTTTGCGTAACTACTGAATATCAAATTCAGGGAGAGATCCAGGCTATAGTATGCAATTGGTGCTAAATACCGGTTAGGGTTTTCTTATTCATATTGTACCGTATCTAGCATCTTATTGGATAGGTTTCCTGGTCCTTCGGAACAATCTGGACATTGCATTCAGTGACCAGTGATTACCAATGTATATTCTACGAGCAATTTTGCATTGCATTCAACTAATGTAAAATGTTTTTCAAGTCTCGCCCATACTAAAACATAACTTCTAGATTAATTCCTTCCTGCAATATATCAGCAATTTAGCTCGTCTCAAATAATAATAATAATAGCGGTTTCAGCGTTATTAGGCCGTAGGCCTGTCGCCGATTCTTAACATCACAGAACATTCACAGCATTTTGCGGTCTCGAACTCGCAACTCACTGCTACAATTCTACTGTGCTTAACCGCCCGGCCTCCTCGCCGATTCTGACCAGAAACTGGCGCACAGAGCTGGGACTGTCTCTTATACACATCTAGATGTGTATAAGAGACAGAGTCTATACCTATCATTATACAAAATACGCCAGGTTAATAAAACATAACTACAAAAGATAATATTGGATTGGTAATCAATCAACAGCCTCAGGGAAGACGAGGAAGTCATGGCGGAAATACAGGTACTCCCTCAGAGGCTGCGGCAACACGTCTCGCAGTCCTTCTGTTTTTTCTTCAATCCTGCAGTGGCCGAGGGAGGCGCGGATGGAGAGGCGGCACAGCTCTTGGAGCGACCGCAACGGCGCTGCGCACATAAGAATATATATATATATATAATATATAGCGGTTTCAGCGTTTATTAGGCCGTAGGCCTGTCGCCGATTCTCAACATCGCAGAACATTCACAGTATTTTGCGGTCTCGAACACGCAACTCACTGCTACAATTCTGCTTTGCTTAACCGCCCGGCCTCCTTGCCGATTCTGACCAGAAACTTTCGCACAGAGCTGGGATCGAACCCGCACCTCTCAGCGCCAATCTTGGTACTCTGAACTCTAACCACTGGGCCACCCTGCCCTTATAGATTGCCACCCTTATAGAAGTATCGGCACTGAAGAAGATGAAGGGTTGGGTGTGATCAAGCTGGCATAGGTATATCACTCGTATATTCCGGGCAATAGTAATGTTTGTTAATTTTTCCTCGTCCTTACCCAGTCTGCGAATCGGTCCCATGGCCCACAAGAAAAAAACATGGCTACAATATTCGTTGTTTATCAGTAATACATTGATCCACTATTGTTGAATAATGCATGTGCGCTTTGCATGGACAGAATTCATTCGTTTATCGATACAAAACATATTTTTATTGGGAATTTTTGCAAGGCATTACTATCGATCTCTTTGTAGACTTTGTTTGATGTTGTGAGCTTGTAACAAACAGGAATGGACATTGTAGTGTTAAAACCTTCAATATACGGCATATTCAAGTCAAGTTAATTAACATTTGCATAATTTCCGATGAAGGTTTAAAATATATTTGGACATTGATAGTTATAAGCCATTGAACCAACTTGAGCATTAGGAAGCTGCATAAGTGTTACATTGTTCAGCTACAGTGCCACCGATTGGTCAATAAAACCTTGGCAAACGACAAATGTTGAGCATTAACATTGCAAATTCAGCGCTTTCTTACTTCTTTAGGTACTGGTCCTATAAATTGTGAAACCATTTTAAATAATGTTTCTTATATCATTACCCTATCATCAATTTTTGCACCATATTTATCTATCAATAAAATTTATAATATATTCTGTTCATGTAACTACTTATGAATTCCAAATACTCATCACAAATTTTTGGTATTGAAATCTGAAAGCGTCACCACTATTAACAGTGCGTACCAGTCATGGAAAACCTGGTAAGTCATATCCAACTTTTCAGGTTTTCCATGACCGGTGCGCACCTTGTATTAAATTTTAATATACCACATGGCACATGCCTAAGTGCTCAATGATTTATAAAAATTTGTAATTATAATAATTGCAGCTTCTAAACAATGAACATTTTCTAAAAGACACAAGATATTAGAAAACTTGCATTGGAAGATAAAATCATTCAGAATCTGAAGTGAAGTTATTGAGACAGTAATCACAATATCAACAAAATAGAGCAAAACATGAAAAAATTCATATCTGGACCCATATCAAGAGGTCCATCATTTTAAATCTCAAAGTGGATCAAATCTGTTTAACTTACTAAAACGAGGTGTGGGCCTTGTGGCCATTGTGGGATAGTGTCTCCTCTGCCCTCATACATTTACAAAGCAGCACAATAGGTGATCATGTCTTGTACCGCTGTATGCCATGAAAGATTTGCAGTTTATCCAATCATTTTGTGTGGTTTGAAAACTTTGTTGGTATTGGTGAAATTGTTAAAATTTTCTGCAAAAATTGACATTACGGTAGGTACTTTCTTTATTATGGAACACATTTATTGCAAAAATTTGTCAGATACAGATAGATGAATAGTGAATGTGAATGTAATCAAGTAAAGTGTTGCCACCCGCACCCGGTTTCAAATTCCAAACCATGCGCAATATTGGAAGTGCAGCAGTTTCTGATTAGCAGTCAGTGTATCAATTAACTCACTGTGGTAGAAGGTAAAATGTAGTAGGCTTTTTGATCTGTTTTCTTACATAAACGTGAGAATATATTGCCTATCCAGAATTTCACACTGATTATTTACCGTTTACCCATTCCTTTAGCCTAAGCCTTTAACAATTTTTTTCAGCAAATAATAAATCAAAGTTTGTTGAACTTTGTTCCTGCCTATTTTTATCCGAAATTTCTTAAATATGCCTGTGAAATGAGTTTTCACCAGCAATTTTAGAAATCTTCTGCACAATTTTTCAAAATAGGATGCGAGTGACATAGAAAAAGTAACAAATTAATGCAAGACTTCATTAGCTAGTTACCATAATTATTATTCACTGACCTAGTCAGGCTAGTGACTTTCTTCACCACAGACCACACCAATCACAATTCAATTCAATATCACAAGTTCACACTTCACAACTTTGATAATGTAACCAAAACTCAAAAGACATCTGTAAATCAATCAGGACCAAGCATAGAAAACATCTACCTTTAGAGTTTAGGGCCGCAACTAGAACTTTCCTGCCATTTCCGGAACTGCGAGTTGCAAGATTTCTGTCAGATGAATTACTTCCTACCTAATAATTGTTAACACTTAACAAAAGTGCACAAACGGGCTGCAAGATTCCAATTGTATTAAAATTTTGACCTGTTGGAGCTGTGAGTTTTCAGAAAAAAGTAGAAAAATTCCAATCCTGCAGGCTGGACCATCACCATGAGTCCATGACACTATACTGGTAAGTGGTAGCAGTGGTTGTGGTACCTAGCCTCCTAGGTACTGGGGTTCCGTTCTACATAGGCCTAAAGTAAAATTTTTTAACTCATTGAGAAGAAAACTAACTAAAAAGCCTCATTTTGCAATTTGTACACTGGTAAAAATAACATAATATTTATTACTATATATCACCTCATTATGCTCTGCGTTTTCAGACGCCGCTGCTTCAGATAGTAGCCAAGTGCCATGACTGCCATCGGTATGACTATGAGGGCTAACTTCTTCATCAAAATTCATGGCCATTTTCGAATATTAACGGACTCGAATTTCGAGATCAAGATGAGATCTGAAATAATAGACACATAATATGCATCAGACAAATCAACAAATATGCATGAAATAATTCGATTAAACTTTGTCTAGAGCAGGTGTAAAAATACGTTTTACTCCGAAGTCAAATAACAAGATACCAGCACGAGCACGGTGCACGCGGCGGCCAAAACAAAAAGATCTCGAAGAACTTCCCAACCCACGACCATGGAAGGTCTGAAAGTCAAGCGCCAGCTGATGTGAAACGAACGACGACTTCAGCATGTTGACCACGTGTTAAGAAATTGTAGACATCGCTCAGAAAGACTGTAAATTATTGATATAGAATAGCTTTGAATTATCATTTACCATATGAGAATCACCCAACAAAATTATCGAAATTTATAAATTTCTACACGAACACGAGAACATCTACCTACCGCAAGCAAGTTATGAAACGGACAACGATATAATTAACCATTTTACCTTCATTCCTGAGTTATAGATCAATTTGGGACGAAATTTGCAGTGACCAAGAAATTTCGTCTAAATTACTGAACAGATTTGAACGAAACTTTGAATGTACATTCCTAACCTCCAAGATGAAGGCAATTCAATATAAATCAAACTAATTGGACCTAATACTGCATCCTCTCTCAAGAATCCTGTTACGTTAGCTCTGTGCTGTAAAAATGCGTTAGCTCTGTGCGGTAGGTAAATTTATACCCGAAAATGCGCACCAATTCTAAAAGGAATTTGTAGTTAAAAATGTGGGTCGCTGCAAGCACCGTCGGGTGAAGCTATGCTGGCGAAGTTTTGAAGCAAGTATCATCTAATTTGCAAAAGATTGAACACACGTTATAGTGGTCAAAGTATCCTGTGCACCAACAATGCGGCAATTGTGGTGTGTTCAGCAACTCTTTTTATGTAATAAAAAATGCATTAAGCAACGCGATTATTACCGCGTTCTTAAAGTCAATACACACGCTCTGATACATATATTATATCAACTAAGAAAAGGTAATGAACACGTTCGTGTCAACGCTGTTGTCAGCAGTGCTGCTGAACATATGGGGGCAGCGGCCGCTGCTGATGGACCGTCGGCCCATCGGCATGTTAGCCATCGGCGTCTTCTACTACGTCATGGAAGTGCACGATGCTTCCCTGGTGGGTCGGGAGCCACGCTATCTGCTCAAACACATACAGTGTAATATGCTTAAGCACATAATATAGGCCCCATTAAACAACTCGTGTGTAACATCACCAGTAAACGTTGAAGCAGACCGGCCAGTGCTTCCGTAGGACCCAACATCACGACTTATTGAATTCACTCGATATCTATGTTAGAACGGTTTCCTCATTCATGTTCGCACCCGGCTTTAAATTTGAGCTTGCTGGCGTGTGGACAATCAACACCTTATACATAAGTAACTGAAATAAGCCAGAGCACGGATCAATACTTTATACCTGTAACACGGAGAGAACTCCATTACAGGCAGGTTACATTTACATCACATATAATCAAGGTATTTGAGAAGGTTGTGGCAAGAAGGTTGGTGCAGTACATGGTAAAAGCTGACCTTTTCAACAGAAGACAACACGGTTTTAGTCGGAATCGTTCCTGTTTGTTTCAGCTACTGGAGCGTCACCATCAAATTCTGGCAATGCTGGAGGAGGGGACCGTGGTGGACGTGGTGTATTTTAGACTGCGTGAAAGCGTTTAACAAGGTTGACCATGGAGAACAAAAATTAAGGGGGGCATCTACCTTAAAGTTTTCGGATTTGGCTCTTCCGGTTTTTAGTCTCATTGAGGTCATTTTTAGTCTCATTCCGGTTAGTCTCTATTGCGATGCGCGCGGGATTTTGTCGAGCTCTCCTGAACATTCACACTTATTGTCACGGCAAACCTTTTTCCTCCTAGAGTTTTGAAGCTACAGCGATGAGACATATACCATTCGATTCATAAAGACCATACCTATCGAGTAACGAAGCCTTTTTTCTAGATTTGTGCATAGTTTGGATTCAAAATGGNGGTCTTAAAATGCCTAGCAAATTACGGATCAGGCAATAAGTCCAGCAGCTATCTCAATCAATCGTCAGCTATAGAAAGATCGGGTTCCAAAGGCCGGATCCCTTGTGAATCAAGTCACGAAAAGTTCAAGAATCGGAAAAAGGCCATGGGCCTATTTCTTCAACGCCGACACTTCTATTCTATTCTATTACTGGCAGGTTACATTTACATCACATATAATCAAGGCATTTGAGAATGTCGTGGCAAGAAGGTTGGTACAGTACATGGAAAAGCTGACCTTTTCAACAGAAGACAACACGGTTTTAGTCGAAATCGTTCCTGTTTGTTTCAGCTACTGGAGTCCCAAGTCTACACAGACCCAAGCTACTGGCGCTTGGGTCTGTACTCACTGAAGAGGAGACGGGAGAGGTAGGCCATTCAGTACACACGGAAAATAATAACCGAGATGACACCAAACTTTGAACGTGAGACATTCAGGATTGAAACATACCATAACCGTAGAAGAGGGAAACTGTGAAGGATTCTCCCACTACGTAATAAATCCGTGGTCAGATGTGAATATCTGCGGGATTGATCTCATTCCGTGACTGAGCCGAGGTTGTTAAACGTCCTAAAAAAGGATCCAAGAGAGGGCGAGTTCACCCTGGAGACTTTCAAGAGACGACTGGACGTGTTTCTGGGCACAATCCCTGATCATCCGCCCTTGCACCACTACCTGCGGTGAGAAGCAAGCGACAGCATCGTGCATCCGCTGACCCTAAAGCCCGATAGTCAGAGGCGGCGATCCAGCTGGGACTGCTACGTCCGAAACATTCATTTTCTCTTTGCCTTCTTTATTGCCTCACATTACCCATGCTGATGAGAGAGACATCTTCTTCGGGTGCTAGCCCCCATATAGTATATATAGTCACTCTGGGGTCACCAATTTTGTGGGGGCTAGCACCCGACCACATCTAATTATTGTTTAACTTCTACTCCGTTTTAGGGGGTTTAAGGCCAGGGGCCGTATTATCAAAACTTCGTTAGTACGCAAAATCGACTTACGAGTGGCGTAAGTGCTGATATGATGACGTAACTCCAGCGGTGGTATTATCAAAATATTTGCGCGGGAAGCTACGTAACGTAACTGTACGCCTGCTCGGAGATGTCGTAAGTGGGGTTCGCACAAGTTTAGAGTGTCTGCTGAAGCAATAGGAAACTATTGATTTACTAGCAAGTAGCAACACGTTGAATTGTGATAGAATTTTGTCAATAATCCGACATATAATCGACATATACTATATACATGTGATCGTGTTAAACGGTGCTTTTGGGATAAAAATGTCAATTGCCTTTTGTGCTATAATTTACAAGCAAATGTTGATATTCATATCTAAGAGTTTTATGATCATTCACTTGAACAATATCTTAACCCTCTACAACGCTGAACGGAACAGCAGCGATTATCAGCTGAGGTCGTGACTCTGCTTCTCGTGAGCTCGACATGGGCGGGCAGTTGGCAGCGAGCCGCGGTCAGGGGAGGTTGTGCTTCACTTGTCTGCGCTGCCTTCACTGGAGTCTTCGCGTTGCACCGTGTTAAACGTAAACTTATCTAGAAAGACAATTTTTTGTAAAAAGTTGTATCTTTCAATTCACAACCGCTTACAGCACATCGCATGGTGCCAATTACCTCCCGAACCTCGTTTATTTTCATCACCAATTGAAATAAATATCAACTGACGCTGGTCGTTGATGTTCACGAAAATGCCAGACTCTCGCCCTCGCCTTCGCTGTTGCTGGACTCTGCTGCTGTTGCTGGTGCATTTAACTGCTGCAGGTGAGAGTTGCTTATGTTGCCATGACGAGATTAAACTTGAATGTTGACTTGCCGGTTGATATCTATGCTCGGGACATCAATGTTTACTGGACGGTTGATATCTATGCTCGGAACATCAATGTTTACTTTGCCGGTTGATTTCTATGCTCGGAACATCAATGTTTACTTGCCGGTTGATATCTATGCTCGGAACATCAATGTTTACTTGCCGGTTGATATCTATGCTCGGAACGCGCCATTATTAGTTGGACATCAATAATGAAGCATTGCGGCCAGTGTATCGGAGGCTTTTGTTAACAAGTAACGTCATTAGCTTCCTTATGTTTCTTGTCATGCTGCTTGCTGGGGTTTAAAAAGTAAAAAACCCCAAAAATTTGTGTAATATTTTTTGTTATATCTCTTGAATGACTGCACTCTACTCTGTTGGGCTCATTTTCGAGCGCAATTGTTACGATCTAAATTAAACTCGAAATAGTACTATACTGTGTTATTCATCCTACGTTCAATGTTTCTAATGCTATATTTAATAGTTTAAAGTCCTGCGGCTAATCTGATCCAACGTCAGTTTTAAAACGATCTGCTTGTAAAGTGAGTTGTTAGATATCCAGAAGCCACGTCAAGTAAATTACGTGAATTGACGACAAGCTAAACTCGCATTCTTCCTGATCAACATTATTATATTATAAAAAAGAAAACTCGGAGAGCGAAACTTTTGTCTTCAATACAACTTACCAGAATGAGCATCCTCATTGCCTGCTTATAATCAAATAAAATACCGATACATTTTAATTAGCGGCCCGCCTGAGCAGCAATGAGCGGTATATTATCAAGTAGAAGATCGACTGAGAGCATGACGAACCAAAAGGGAGGGGCAATATGTCTTCAAGAACTATCGCTTTAGAATAGCGCGAGCAGCAATCATTTCACAGCTTAACAATGTTCTTTCTTCATTATCAAATTTTTATTTTTTAATTTTCATATAATATTCAAAGTTCCTGAATGATTTCCCTTCTTGAATTATCAGACAATACACAGATTCTAATTATTAATTTATGGACTGTGTTGACTCAATGGTTGTATAGCGACTCCTGATGTGATTGTATCGACGCACTCCGCACGTGGATGCAGATGGATGGATCTTTGTATGGCAGCTTTTCGTGGACGCATTTGTCTTCCTTCTGTAGTTTGTCTTCATTGACATTTGACCTGCTTTACTCACTCCTGAACATTTGTCTTCCTACTATTAACATTTGACCTCCGTTGCTCACTCCTGAGTATTTGTCTCCCTAATACAGTGCCGGAAATG